TGACCAACTCGGCGCTAGACTTCAATACACTCACTCAATAACTATCAGCTTGCTAGACGAGGCACACACACTCGATACTAACTCCCCGTGTATCAGCACGGTTTATATAGCTTTCGGCTTGTGTTTGAGAACATTCTGGGCTAAATCGGTAAGATTTCTTTCCAGAAGGTTCTCCATCCACCCATGGTATATCGCCAAATTTGTGGCTAAATGGGTGATTTCTCGCCAAATGTGGCAACCCTACCTTCCTTGCTATTTTACAGCAACCCTAAAAGTGTTTTGAGGGAAGCCATCTTACCGCACCTGTACATTTCGTAACAATACAAAAAATAGTAAAACATAAATTGAAGAAACCATTTTTAAAAAAAATCTTGTTCATATTCTTAGCCTAAATTGTTAAAGTTATTATTGAACAATTATTTGTACTATGATTATGTTGTATACTGCATATTATAGAGAAAAATGTAAGCTGAGTTGATAAAGAAAACCATTTTCTCAAAAGCGTTTGATGCAAGAAAATGTTTGGGAATCCCTGTTTTAAAACAATAAGGGAATTCCATATTTTGACATCATTAACTCTTTCACCTTTTAGTTATTTAGAAGGATGGAAAACAAACTAAGTAAATACTTGTATACTCATCTTGAATTTATTTGTACACTTGACCTTTAAATTACACTAGTGTTAGGGACACCAGTCTTCTACACAATACCAAATGTGAATACCAATTTTGAGTCATTAAAAACTCTGCTGCTGATAACATGGATCAATGTTAACACACACAGTAAATTAATACATATTATATATGTTTACATGTTTCATACCGTATAGCACTGTTTTAATAAAATAAGCAAAAGAAAATTATTCTGAGAGAGAGAATTAGGACATGTAAAAGGCCACACTATACTCATCCATACATAGTTATCATCCATACATACATTTCCCCACTACATTTACCATTATCATATATCTGTTTGTTAGCATCTACATTAATGTATTATCTTAATAGGTTACAAAATATTATAGATATTACACTAGATATCAAAAATTAAATGTTTTGTAACAAATCAAATGTTTAAAAAATTTACAGCACAAATCAAGCAAGTCAACATTTTTTTTTTAAATGTCATGACTTTTATTGTGCTTGTTTGGGGGCAATGTCACTAAAAGCATGTAAGCATGGTAATTATTGTGCTATTTAAGATTTATACTAGCATCACTCATTACCAATGGCATCATACAAAGTTTACACATGTTTATGCATTAAAATGTTAGAACAATTTAGTTTTTCTAATGATAGATTTGTGTTCATTTTAAAAATAAATTTTTAATGCCTTTTCCAAACTCTGTAGACATTAAAATTTATCTTTTTTAAGTGTTCTACATGTTCAAAAATTTCCTCAATATATGTTTTGAAAAAATTTTACACATAAGCTAACTACACAATTCAAACCCATGTAACTCATTGGTCATTACAAAAGAATTTTCTATCAAAGAAGCCACATTTTTTTGCAAAGAATGACATTAACAAATAGTAGTACTTCTTAAAACACACTGTGAACTACAGATTTTTGGATATCCCTTCAAATCATTACTCTAGATAAGAAGGATGAAATTGATAATTTATTGTAATTAACAAGAGTACACAGCAAAAATAACAGCTATGAATTATCCAAAGAGAATGCAGAAATTAGGCAAATACTCTCTAACACAAAAGAAATATTGTAGATAACTGATACCACTCAGCAAACTTCAAATATGTAATTCAGCTAACTTTCAGTGAACTGCGGTCTCTCAGAAATCAAATGGACAAATGGTTGGCCACCACAGCCATATTCATATGGTGTTGCACAGCCTTCTTTATGCTCAAATCGTTCCCAAAATTTTGAAAAGTTCTTTTACCAAAACTTCTAGCAAGTCACCTACCTAACATGAAATTGCAAAAGTCACCAACTTTCCACAAAAATAATCACAAAGTCTTATTAGGAGAATTTTTGAATCTAACATTCTACTCAGCCATTTTCACAATTTAAATGGTGATGTGGTGTATTTAATTATGGCAAAGCACACTAGGGCTATCTGCCTCACAATTTAAATGTTAATGAATTTAGAATCACAAGATTTACAGAAGAAACACATACTTAAATGAAATAGTAATAGTTGGCAACAGCTGCACAGCAGTTCTGGACTTTTATCTTAGCATTAGCCATTTATATATTTCTAGAAAAAACATAAGCAAATTAAAAATTTTTACAGTATAACATTTTTTGTGGTTGGAACTATTACTATAATAAAACATTCTTATAGCAAAGATTTCAGTTGTTATATATATATCAAATGTTTTCCATTTTTCTAGTAACTTCACGATTCCTTTGCTCATAAAACATGTTCTTTATCATCAAAAAAACTCAAACAAGTATGATTTGAGACCATTGTTATTACTAAAATTTTTACCATTTAAGAAGTTTTGTAAACTTTGAAATAAATGATAATCAAATGGTGCATGATAGGGGCTATATGGAGGACTGCAACATCACTTCCCAACCACACTCCAATAATTTTATATTAGATGCTAAAGATCTCCAAGGCCTCACATTGTCGCATGGAACACCATTTCTTTGCAATTTATCAATTCTGGCCTTTTCTCTTTGCTTCCTCCAATTTCGTAAGTTACTGGCAGTAAACATCTGAGGTGATAGCTTAGTTGCTTGGAAGCAGCTCAAAATACACAACATCTTTGTAATCCCACCAAATTGACAGCACAATCTTTTTTCTGACGCAATTTAGTTTTTGATGCGATTTCTGCTGATTCAGCTTGCTTGTACCATGATTATTTTGATTAACACTGTTGTAGATAATCCAATTTTCATCACCAGTGATAATTTGTATCAAGGAAGAGTCAAATGTATTATGTTTGAAATCTGTATCCCAAATACTGATTCGTTTTGTTAATTCCTTTCAATTCATGAATGAGGACCTAAAATATTGAGCTTCTTAATGAGTCCAAGACATCATGTGATTTTCTATTGTTATGCAAGATGCATTTAAACTTTCTGAAATCTCTTGCACAATTATGTGATGATTCAATTAAATCATGCTCTAATTTTGTCATTACAATTGCAGAAGGTCGGCCATAATAATGGTCATCTCTATGCGAAGAAATTTTTTAAACCAATTCTAACACATATGTTCTGTTCAGCAATGAACACCATAAACTTCACATGTCTTTGTGAGCCTCAGCCACATTCTTGCCTTTATGAAAATATGTCAAAAATGCTCATTGTTAAATTAAAATTGACCGTAAACTAACAGTTGTCAACAAAAATACACAGATTTTGTTTCTATAACAAACTAAACATATCAACTGCCAAATCTCAAAAGAAAAGAAATTATAAGATTGACAGAATAACAACAAAACAAACATAACATTATATATTCACGCAAATCAAAACTTTCTGGTTTTCCACCAAAAAAAAATGTTCCCAATAAAGTTAGGGGGAAAAAAACACAACATGAAAGCAGTACCATTAGTGTGGATAGTACTCGCAACCTAAATCTATGATTTTCTACCAATATTTTGGTAGTTTTTCAAAACTTTCAGCTCAGAAACTTGGTGGTCATAAGTCCAAAAACTGATCAACCTCATTTTAGACATACTGTGTAGAATGGAAGATAGCACTAGCAAGATGTAGCTGGAGATGTGAAAAAAGGTAGAAGTAGTCAGAGATATATAGTGGCAAAAGATCCCATTTGAGTCCATATAGAATTCAACCAGTAAATGCAGACGCATGTGGTCCACATGTGTGTAGGTCTTATGGATTACCTTCTTGATAATACCACGGCAATCCCACCAGATATAAAGCATGATCTTTTTTCTAATCAAATTTTTGCATTTTACGACACTGCCGACGGGCTTACCGGGCACAGACCAACTCCCTTTTTGGCCAATGTCATCATAAGTCATGGTTCAGTCCAGAATTTTGTCCTTGCGTTAATATTAGGGCACATTAGTGCAGGCCCCGAGTCCTTATCTGCTTGAGTCAGCTCATGCAGTACCCAGCAACTGAACTTGTACTTCAAGTTTATGCAATGCATAGCTTGACTAATGGACATGGCACTAATGTTTAACTCCTTAGCAAAGCTCTCGAGTGGTTGCATACTGATCTTGAAGTTCTTGCATGCAGGCCTCATCAACATCAGTAGGACAGTAAGAGCACTCTGCTTCTTAAATGTCATAGTCCTTGTTTTTGAACTTTCGAGAATAAACCTTCACAGTGTCATATGGTACGATGTTAGTACCTAAAGCCGTACACATGATTTGGTGGTATTCTGCAGCTGACTTTTTGCAACAGATCTGGAAGTAAATGATGAGCATGACACCTTGTACTTAATGATAACAATATTTTTTTACAAATTTCACAACACAGTGTTCTAAAGCAAGTTTCTTTCAAGTGCCAAAAAATTATTTGACAAAATATGATTAAACACGCCAATGAGAACTGTTTGCATAGATGATATTTGCAGTAGCAGGAAAATTTCGTTACAGCTGATACTTTCTTGTCAACCAATACATAAAGCACTGTTTCTACTTCTTTTGAAATGGTCTTTGGCTTATTCCATAATTATATATAATGAAGCTGTATTACAAAACAATTAATAAATTTATCAATTAATTGTTAATAGTTATATGTGTTCATTTATTATTACGTCAATACTGCATATTACTCGTATTCTAGAAATCATTATAATACATTCCCCTTTATTCGAAGCAGTTATAAATCATTATAATACATTTTTTTTTTTTCATGGATAAATAAATTTTATGCATATAGGTCATGAGGCAAAAAATTCTGAGACATTCTACAGTATACAACTGATACATAGAATAAACCGTGTTAAATATGATATAAACTTCAAATTTTTGACAGAAAGTTTAGTTAATGAATTAATGGTAACTATATAAAAATGTAAAACTTAATGCAAAAGATTACATCATACTTACGAATTCTATGATCAAAACTAAAATCCACATCATAATAGACCACAACTAATGGGTATTTGTCATCATACTTCCATCGACTTCGTTGATTTCTTTCACCAACCAGAGGTAAGTGATGCTCTTTAATGAATGTTACTATGTCAGATGACAAAGCACCAACCTTAAAACAATATCATACACATTAAAAAGCTAGTGGAAATAACAAAAATGAAACTTAATATTAAAGTAAGCATACATAAATATATATATATAAACACAAAGGAGTCTGTACTAAGACCATAGTCTGTGACAATAGAAAAAAGATCTTCAATTAATTAGATTATGGTAACATGTCAACTGGATATGCAATACAGATTAAATGCAATGTTATACAAACAAGATATATTATTTAAAAATAAAAATTAAGATTTAATTTACTAACATGTGAATTTATTGCTTTTAGATTTTTAGATAATTCAATTTAAGAAATACACATATAACTCGAAAGATAAATTAAAAATCTTATATTGAATGGTAACACTCAGAAAACATGTTGTTTGTTAAATTACAGGAAAGTAAGTTAATCAACTTCTGTACATTATGCAAAGGTAATCTGAACGTTAAATACTCTCGCAGTGCAATGTTAACAGCTCCAAACTTTCGAAAGCCTAAGCTAGAAACATTTTTAATGCCAAAAATAATATTTGTAAGTAACTTTACTTTTTGTAAAAAACATTAACTTGTTCATTAAAAACCATATTTAATTCAATTATAGTTATGATATATCATTATCAAGGAAGTTTGTAATTAGGAAAAAAGTATATAATAAAGCAAAAATATAGGTTCAAATGATTTGTTTTTATGTATTTATGTTCCGATTATCGTTTTGAACAAAGTTTCAGGTCTCAAATTAGCAAAGGGTCATTTAGTACTGCAATATGTTATATTACATTAGCTCTGTAGTATGTTACATGTATGTTCATGTTAAACATATAAAGCTAAAAAATTAAACCTGATCTGTATATATTTTTATTTCGAACAACCTTTGTAATGGCATGTACACTAATTAATGTTAGCCACAGCCACAGCCACAGTTTTGGTCTTTGAGAGATTGAAGAGGGGTGGGGGTTAAATTTTTCTACTTGATCTAAATAACAAGCTCCAAGATATATTTGTTTAGAGGGTGATACAGCTCATACTGGTTTTCTATTATGGCATCACAGCGAAGAGATAAAGAATAAAGATTATGAAGAATTAAAATTAACACAGAAAAATTGCACTCTTCCTTAACTTTCTAATTTGACCCAGCTTATTATTATTTTGCAAGCTATTATTATTAGAGCTATCTTGTCACATTAAAAGTTTGCGTTTTTGATTAAGACAAAAAGAGTTTTTAACTCTGGAGCTGTAACATGTCTCTGCAAAGTAAAACCATGTCTGCGAAGGATTTGCAAGTAAAAGCCTATTTGATACTTGCCTTCCAATGCCGCCTAAGTGGCAGACAAAGGTATCAGCACAATTCAGGTTTAAGAAAGTGCAATTTAAAAACTAGAGAAAACAACCAATGTCTTTTGACATAGATTTTGATTGAAGATGAAATTTTGAAATTAATGGAATTTGTGAAGGATATATGATCTGATAATAAATGAAAATGAAATTACAAATTTTCGATTGCAATGACAATGTTCCAATCAGCTATCAAGTAGCAGATGGCAGAATGTGTAACATGGTTTTGAATCCAGAAAATATCACTACTGATAGTAAAGAAAGTGACAAAGAGTTTTTTGACCATTAAAAGATTTTGATTAACAGTTTAGTGGGAATTCTCGGCAATGGCAATTTTAGGACCTGAAAAATGGAACGTAATTGAACAAGAAATTATGCCAATTTACAAAACTGTAAAGTAAAAGAAATGTATTAGCATACATACAAAATAAATAAATAAAAAAAGCTTAAATATCTTTTACTGAAAGAAATGTTTTAACAAAACAAGTAAACAAATGCTGTTTTTTTTTTTTTTGTAAAATCTGACTTTATTAAATTTATGATTTTTTTTATTAAAATCATAAATGCTTCCTTATTTCATAAACAGTTATTTCTTACTTTTTATTTTATAATTGCTGCATGTTATTTTATTAGATTTAAACTGATGATCCAAACTCTGTAACCGTCAAATTCCTAACAATTCTGTACCATACTTCAACGAAATGCATGGCCATTCTCAAACAAAAACTGTTAGACTTTGTGACAAATAACACAGAAGATAGAAATGAAATTGCAATATATGGGATAATTTAATATCTTAAATGATAGTTCCAGAAGCATGATTTAATTCGCAATAATAAAAGAAAATGTTACTTTGCTGTTGCAAAGCTTAGTTTCTCTAGATTGGTAACAAATCCACTATTCTGCTAAGTTTCAAATGTAAAGAAATATTGCTGCTACGGAGGAAAAAAAAAAAAAAAAAGCTTAGCCGCACTTAAACAACTTTTAAATTGTTCATAATTAAACAACTATAACATACAAGTTAACTAAAGGCATAAAAACCTTAAATGGAAGATAAGAACAACATAATTCAATCATTTTTAAAGCAAAAAATGCCCAATTTACTAACATATAATAAAAAACTGAGCTCTTGGAGCTGAGTAACAAGGTATATATACATATATATATATATATGCAAGCTATAACTAAATACGATGGCTGTTTTAAGAATAATTGGCGACCTCAAAATTAACTTTCTAAATTTGGTGACCCCTCCACCCGAGTTTATGCTTTCTCCCAAATTTGAGATCTTTTCAAATTATATAACACTGCTTGAAAAAGGTAACTAAAAGTAAAATTGACGAATTGTGGCATAACTTTGTATTTGCATTTACGTAGTATAAATATTGCTTTGATCAATTACGCATCCCTTTTTTTCCGTTCTAGCTTGCACCCTGCCAACAACTCCCCGCTTGAAAAGTAATTTGTCTGCCAAAGAGATGATCTAAAATGTGTAAAAATAAAGATGATGATTCTTCAATTCAGTTTCGTAAGTGCTTCGTCAAGCCTTCACTCTTAGCCACTACTGTCTTCTCAGCCACCACTGTTTTCGAATGCCAGAAATTAAAGTACCAGATCCACGACTACGCACTTAAAATATCACACACACACACATATATATACTTTTGGTGTGGCCGATTGTAACCAAAAAGGGAGGTGCACAACTACATATTCATGAAAAAAAATCCCCTCATCAGTCTTATAACTCATTTGGGGAAAAGAGTCCTTCATTCCATCCTTACATACAGATGTCATGCAAAAACATCATTAAATTGCATTTGATAGCGGTCAAAATGGACATTTTCATTGAAATATGGCACCTGGAATTTTTCGTGATTATAATACTTCCTTACCTCATAAAGACAAGTAAAAAAAAAGGTATGATCTATTATGTTCTTTGCTCAAAATTTATAAACAGTTATTAATATCAGGTTTTAAACTTGAAACACCAATAAGACATTGAGAAAATAATCTGAAGCAGTAGTAAAATAGAAGCTACACATGTGTGTAGTAAAGTGGAAACAGCATTAATAAAACTATATAGCAGCAAATTTGTCCCCAGAAGCAGTGTCAATAGTTGAGATATTTCAAATTAACATGAGCATCTCAAATGAAAAGTTATTAAAGCCCCTAGTGTTTCATCACAGCCAGAAATATGTAAACTGTTATCAATCAGGTGAGGCACTAAGCAATGGAAAACCATCAGAACTTCTGTGCTGCATGATGCGATGTGCAAATTTATATAAGGTTATTACAGAGAAACATATGCTTGAATTATTTATGCATAATTTACCTAATCTGTTTCAGTTGCTATTACGCCACTAACAGGCACCTAAAGTAAAAGAAAATCTTTAGAGATAATACCTGTTTCTGTTAGCAAAGTTACAATTTCAACAACAGAAAGTTCAACCAATGAACAATTATTTTTTGAAATAAAGTGACTTAGCAACAGAATCAAAGCTTTAAACAAATCTAGATACTGTAGTAATTAATGCAATTGCATCCAAGCACAAAAGCCGTAAAATAAGCGCAGTTTGCTGTATAGTTAAAAAAAAAAAAAAAAAAAAAGTGAGGTGATGTGCACACTTTCAAGAATTTCTTATCACTTATTTCTTAAAGCTGATAGATAAATGCAATAATTTTAATTAATACTGGACCTGATGTGTTGATTTTACCTGCATAAAGTCTAGAGAAACACAAAATGTCATTGATGACAGTTGTAAGTACACTGCGGGGGGACAGTTCTATATCTCCCGTTTCTACTGGGCCGATTGACAAAATTCAAATTTCGTTTTTCATGTTTCGAAAATGCGACATAGGATGCACATTAAATTTATATATAGCATAGGTATTTTGACACAAAATCTGATTTTTTCTGAAATAACATACACATTTTTTTTTCCATCTTTCGATTCTATGATTCAAATTATGCCTAGATCTTAAATTTTGTAAAATTTAGTGTGAAATTTACAGAGAAATTAAAAAATTTATCTCACTGCAATTTTTTCAGTTTGCACCAAGAATAATTTACTTGGCAAACTATTTTTCTTTTCCTTTTTCATTATGCCAGAGCGGAAAAAAAGGCACCTAGTTCCTATCTTTTTATATTGTGCACGAGTGGAAAAAACATCACTTTGTTTCTAATTTCTAATAATTTTAACATAGTGTCTAAACCACATTTGATGTTTTATTGTTTTCAACAAATATGTCAAATTTCAAAACGTGCCAATATATAAATTCAAGTATATCTTTAAAAGTTTTGAATAACAAACTGAAATTGTTTGCAGGTATGTTTAGAAATACGTCTACTTTAAGATGATGGTAAAATTTTTATAGACTATAATACACTTTTTTTTGAAAAAATTATAAAAAGTATTTAAAAATACAAATTTTAAAATAAATTAAAAAAATTGGTGAATTTTTTTAGAATGAACCTAAATTTCGAAATACGAAAGGAAGAATCAAATAAGTTTAATAAAAAAAGAGATATTAATGAATATGTATCAAATTCAATTAACATTGAGAAGCTAAAATTTTGAGAGCGTTTTAAAAACTACTCGTGCAAATTTTACAAAACTTGGCAGTTTGGCATAATTTGAGTCATAGAATCGAAATATGAAAAAAAAAAAAAAAAAAAAAAAAAAAAAAAAAAAAAAAAAGTGGCACGTCATTTCAGAAAAAGTCCGATTTTGTGTCAAAATACTATATAAAAATCTAATACATATCCTAAGTCACACTTTCGAGACATGAAAAATGCAAGTTGAATTTCGTTAATTGGCCCAGTAGAACGGGAGATATAAAACTGTCCTACCCTTCTTTTTTTTTTTTTTTTTCCACAGTGTACATCTAGTATCAAAGTTATGGCCAAAAGCTCAACATTTAATTTCATTACATTGTATTTTTAAATAGCCCTTCTCACTGGAAATGTAAATGCAACAATAGTTTATAATTTTTAATCTAATGCTTCATATATCCAGACATTCACCCTAAAAAGTATGGCAAATCTGCACAAAATTACAAGAAATGTAACAGCCCTGAAAGAAGGCAGGTGAACATCCAAAAACCATTTAATTGAATTCTAGCTGTGAAGTACACAGGCCATCTACAAAGGCAATTTCTGCAAGTATAGCATGTGTAACAACATCCACTAACTCCTGCAATCTGCGTTGCCTCTCAGAATATAAGCATTTAGTTTATAGGTTCCGGAAACCGCAAAATGGAGTACGAAATATCGAAGAAAAAATACTTACTGGATAATGACATCATAATTACCGAATAATAATGAGTCATAAAGGAAATACCAAATTATTAATATCACGATACAAGATCGACAAACCTCAAAGCTGTGTTGTACGAGTGGCTCCGGCAGTAGCGAAGTGATGGGGTACCTATTTCAGGACTACTCCTGAGAGAAAAGGGGAAGCAGATTCATGCTGACTTAAAAATAGAGTAGCCTAACGTAAATGAACAATATAATATAATCAGTTTATATATGTAATAATAATTTAATGCATATAATTATTGCATTAATGTATATACTAATTTAATTAAATGTATCTAATATGCCTTATTTATTTTGTAGTTTTAGTCTGAATATTAGCTTTTCTGTCCTGAAATCTGCACAACCTCTGGTCCCAAGTGTTGCAGATTTCTGGACTTCTACTGTACTTCAATTCACATTTTCGAAAGTTAAGACAATTATATACATATTACCCTCCAAATGTTATGGCCATTTGGAACTGCTTATGAACTGTATTTAAACAGCATTTGTTTACTTAATTCTTTCATAAACTTTCATTTACTAAGATAATATTTAGATAGTTAAAGGAACAAGAAAACACAAAATTTCAAATAAAAAGTGATATACTCCAAATGACAAAATATCTTACAACCAGATTAAAGCAATCAATGTCATTCAGACAGTTAAAGACAATATTGTATACATAATTTTTCATAGATTTTTTAAATGCATAAACTTTATTACAAAATTAATTAGTGGCTATAAGCAAGGCAGAATTTATGCACAGTTATATTTTAACATTAAAAATAATATCAATGAAAAAAATGCATAAAAAGTTAAACAAACAATTCTAATGAGAAATCAACTTACTTTATTAAATTCATGCTTTGGAGGTTCATATTTACTGGAAAATATTTCTGGTTGATAGAGAATGATTCGAGAATCTTTGACACCAAACTGTTTCATGACATTTTGACTAAAAGTGTGAAAGAAACTGAACTTTCCTCTTAATGTGTTAGCTGAAAATATATATAGTATTTAGGTATAAAAAATACTAAAAAATACATAATCTGAAAGTTAAGACAGTGTATAATCTCTAGGGCATACAGTTGGTAATTTTTATTAATAAAAGAGCTGTATAAAAAGATGGAGAAAACTTAAATGAACCAGAAAATCTTGATTTTAAGTACAAGACAAGTTCTTAAGTTAAAAATTTTAATGAACTTTAAAAACTTTTTAGTAATGTTAATTAAAGTTTTAATTCTAATATTATTCTAAATAAAATGAAATGCTTATATGGAATTATGAAATATTAATTGCATTATATAATATGTTTTATTCTTGAGTTTTATAAAAAAATCTTCTTTACTAACTTCATATTTTAACAATAGTAAAACTGCTAGAAGGGTTAAGACAAATTCTTTTGCTAGTGTACATAATACATAAAGTCAGAAACATGCATTAATTATTATAAAAATTAAGGTGTAGAAAATTATGAAAACAATTTTGATAAAATAAGCTTTTACTTAAAATTCATAAAATAATGAGCCAAAAGGAAAAAACAAGTTCACCTATACTTTAAGGCTTATGCTTTCAACACTGCAACTTGATTAATAAATTTCATTAATCTGGCACCCAGGCTTTACACCACCACATCATTAATCTGGCACCCAGGCTCCACAATATAAAAGCGTAGAGAATTTATAAGAAATTTAATCTCCGTAATCCTTATACTATTGATAAAATTATTTTCTTTTTTTAATTCAATTATTTATGTTTTAATAAAAGCTTTTTTTTTAAAACTTATTACTATTATTTTTTCTTTTTAATCTCTACACAATATCAATCAAATTATTTAAATAAAGTCTTTCCTCAGCAATGAATAATCTTTGTTACTTCTACAATTATGTTCTTATTCACAACCTTATAAAATAAATTATTTCCACCTTTACATTTAAATTTATATACTAAATTTATCATGAAAACATCATGTATTTAATCTTAGACAATCCTGGATAGTATGCTCACATTCTCTCTATTTCTGCTAAGCTATTATTGTTATACAACATAAAGTACAAATTACAGAATCAATGAGATTTCAGAAACTTCTAGATTTTAGATAATTAGTTTAAATCTACTAATATGACATGTAGAAATTATGAAGTTGAAAATATGAAATATCTGTTTATGAAACATTTGAGTATAATGAAATCAAATTTCAAAAAAATAAAACAAAGAAATCAAAAATTCAGTATCTGTTTATTTCAAATATTTTTTTCAATGTAAGTTGTACAAGCTATTTTGTTTTCTATGCTAATAATTTCTCTTTAATTTCATAGGTGGATATAATTCTTATTTGGTTAAAATGTTTCTTTGTTCAAGTCCTGTAATTACTGTGCCAGAATTCTCATTTAACTGTTAATCAAAACCTTTTCATTCTCAAACACCTCTTTGTCACTTTCTTCATGATCAATTATGACATTCATTGGATTTAAAACCATACTAGAAATTCTGCCACCCATTACTTGATTAATGATTCAGGTATTATCAGTGCAGTTGGAAGATTTCTGTTATATCATCTTCACTTCTCCACAAATTCCATTTATTGGAAAATTGCACCTTTTCCTTGTGTTGTCCCAAAACCTTCAAATTCATGGCTATCATAACATGAAATAGGGTAACTGGCCATACCATTATGCCAAGCATTTTTAAACATACCTGCAGACAAGTCTTCCCATGACCTGCCAATGCTCACATAGCAGACATGTCAAAATATTTAAAAAATTCTTTAATAATCTTGCCATTGTTTAGAAAATTTAGCATAAATTTCAAAAAAGCTACTTTTACAATGCATTTCAGTGTGCGCAGCACTGTGATGCCATTGTCTGAGTGACAGATGCACAAGTTGGTGGAAAGAATAAAATGGACAAGTTATTGTTTATTAAAACTTTAAGTTAAGGCAAACAGTTGTCTATAATCAAGACAATATTTACATTATCCGGTAAGCCAACCAATTTCAATGTTTGAAAGCTTTAGGTACGAAAGGATTTTCAAACCAGTAATTTTATCAATGATTCATGTTCTCTTGTTTGTATGATAGAAGTTAAAAGTATAAGACGAGGGAAATACTGTTCCTTTAGATGGCCAAGGTCATTTATTTTTTCCAGTAAGTTTACATTTGTGCATTCCTGCAGCATTTGCACATGTCAAAATCATTAGTCTTATCTTCGAGTTTTTTATGCCAATTGTGGCCTTTCCTACTAAAGTTGCCAAGGTATTCCTGGACACATATTAGAATAAGACCAGCTTCTTCAGCATTATAAATTTGTTCTAGAGATAACTTTTCACTATTTGAATTCATCTGCAAACATTTCAGCTACCTCAGTATCAGCTGAAGCATTTTTATTAGAAATTTCAACTACCTAATATTACAGCAGTTTTAAAATTTGTTGAATTTGTTGACTGAAAATATATTTATTGCATATATTAGGAAATATTTCATCACTTCATGTTCATTTACAAAAATTTCCTAATTTTTGTGAACAGTACATTTTAAACACTTTTATTCCTTTAAAAAGCTTCTATATTTTGTATTTGGAAATTAAAGTTCTTTAAAAGTATTACAGATTATTTAAATCTCAGATCTTAATATAATATATTTTACATCAATTGAAAAACTGGGAGAATATCCGATTTCAATGACTTTTTACAAAATCCATAAATAAAAATTATTGGAATGTATCAATGTTTACAAAAAATTATTGCCAGGAAACTTAAATAGTATGTATTTTTGACAATCTTGTTGCCATCAAAGAAAGGTACTAAAAGCATTAAATTATTACCTTTTAAACATTTAAAATATATAAAAGACATCAAATTAAACAAAATTTTAAATATTAAATTATTACCTTTTAAAACGGTAAATTTTGTTAAAATGATAAGTAATGTATTACTATAATTCCGAAAATACATTAGGGATTTTATGTTCCAAAGATTGGCAATATCTGCCAAAAATCTGCCAAAAATTGCAGCAATTATGAAAAATCAGAATAATCTGAATAAAGATGTTTGGAAATTGAAAATTCTGAAGTTAAATAATAAAAAAAGAAACAACATTTTTTTAGGCATTACAAAAAATTTTAAATTAAAGACTTTTGAATTAAAATTTAAAAAAATGAGGATATACATAAAAAAAATCTTACCAGCTTCTATGTAACTCAAATACAATGGATCAGAATCCGAAAGGAAAAATCCAACAACAGAAGCATCTATTTTGCCTAAGGACTTTTCTAGAACTTTTGGGGAAGTAATTTCCTGGCTTGGAGGTTTAGCTTGCTCCTTCATATAAGAAATAATGCCTAAAATAATGAAAGTAAATTAAAAAAATTTATATTAATGCAGATTTAGACATCCACTTACAGCATGCAATTGAATAGTAAAAAGATCAGCATTTATATGATTACATGCTGTGGGCTTATAGGTATCCCCTACTACAACAAATAAACAATTATTGAAAATTCATTAAAATAAATAACAGCTCATGCTAACTTATTATCGTTAAATTATTTAACGCATGGTGAGCACGGTCTCCCTGCTCCCCATGCATTCATAATTATTACAAATATTTTTATTACTGTTCATTTAATCACTTTTATTGTTCATTTATTGACACATCTTAAAAACAACAAACAAGAGAAGAGTTTAATGCAACACCTAATCTAAATATTGATTTCTGCTCTTTAAAACAACAGAACCTCAAATAAGACATTGATCTTGCATTTTAATATACATGCATACATTATGAATTAATTTTTCAAAACATTTTTCATTAAATGTCTATAATTTACATATAGCTTACCAACATGGTCATCAAGAACCTAATTTTTAAAAATTTTTTACAAATACATAACAAAAATGGCTTATTTTAACTTCCTTGTACAAAGTAAAAGAAGCATTGTAATCATGAAAAATTCTGGGTATCGTATTTCAACGAAAATATCCATTTCTGACTGCCATCAAATGCAATTTAACGATGTTTCTGCATAACATCTGTACGTAAGGACAGAATAAAGGCTTCTTTTTCCTCAAATTATAAAAATGAGTTAAAATGGATTCAAAACAGGTTTCTTCCTAGCGTCTGTACATTCATATGTACGTATTCATATGCATGAAAGTATCTTGCATAACTCAAAAACAAGTAGTCTCAAAACGTTGAAATTTTGCCTATAGGACTGTTATAATATGTAGTTGCATAACTCCCTTTTTGATTACAATCGGCCGCACCAAATGTATATAAATATATATAGTACATACCCATTATGTTACTTGGCTCAGTTTTTTTATTCTTATATGTTGGTAAATTGTGCATATTTTGCTTTCAAAATGTTTGAATTATGTTGTTCTTATCTTCTGGTTAAGGTTTTCATGCCTTTAGTTAATCTCCATGCAACAGTTGCAGAATTATCCAACAATTTAAAAATTGTTTAAGTGCAGCAAAACAGCAGCCATATTTGTTTACCTTTGAAACTTAGCAGAATAGTAGTGAATGCAGTTTCTGCACCTTCAGTATTTTGTCGAGTGGGACAAAACTAAAACCTTCATTTCTGTGCACCGAAAAATCTGTATTAATTTATTATATTATGTAATATTTAATTGTATTTGTTATTTTTTTCTATATTTTTCAATTTTTAATGAAGATATTTTGAGATTTTATGCAATTTTGCCTTTCGTAAACTGAGAACAGAATTAATTGAAAGAGTCTCTAATGAAATATTATCTCTAATGAAATTCGAGGATATAAGTTTTTTGTATTAGTAGCAAATAATGTCAGCAATTTGTCTTGGACAGAGGAGAATGTTTACGAGTAGCGCATGCACATTAGGTAAGCAGTGCTGAATTGTCTGTGAAAACCTGTTTCTTTTTTGTTTAATTTTTTTTACACATCATTTTAGATTTATTATAGCATTTGAATAGACTATGTGGCAACAATTAGATAATTCATCAGATGATATAATTTTTATGCATTCTGAGTTATAAAATGAATGAGATGTAACGCTGTTCAGTGAACCTAAGGCCAGAGTGTTGCTACGGCAAATAAATATAGTGAATTTTAAAGAGTACATTTATTCTATTCTGGTTTATGCGCTATCGCTGAAGTAGATTTAATTCAATTCAATAAGTGAAATGCATGTAATTTAATATTCCGTACAAGGAAGTCATGTGGTGTACAGATTTTTTTAAATTTGCGACACCATATTAAATCCTCCGAGTGGCTCTGCCTTTTCTATTTGCTTATGAAAACTATATTTAAACACGCTTAATCAGCTAAATTTTTATAATTTCTTATTTTAGTCTCTGTTTTTATAAACTTGGATTTATTAAGATGATAATTACATTATTAAAGAAAGTTAAAAAGCACAAAATTTAAATTATAACATATACTAAGTAACCAAAAAATCTCATGATTAGATAAAAGCATTCAATTCCACCAGGAAGTTAAGTAACAAAATTTCTATGAATTATTAACTATTTATTCCTTATTAACTATTATATTATTCTATTTATAGCTTAAAGCACTGGTCTGAAACTGAAATTACTTGTGGGCTCTATACATATCATACATCTATATACATATATGCATATCAATGATATATTTTCCTTGCAGCTCTTTATTGAGAATATATAAATGCCTAAGCCAACCAGCTTGTCGATGGTTTTATTCACTTTCTGTTGTCAGAATTTTGATTTCATCAAATAAAAAACTTTTTTAATATAGCCTCTCAATGTAACTATTTCACCTCATTTTCCTAAATTTTGTGGTACTTACTTTCAGTTTCTTCAAACAATGCAATAAACTCAATAATTCAGAACTGTTCTGCAGATAAAAGTTTATGGTTTTCAGTTACTGTTTTCATATCCTTATCATATGTAAACTTTTGGCACCATATTTACAACCAATAAAAAACTAAAATTTATTCATGGGCCACATGTGGCTCACAGGTGACCAGTCTTAGACCATGCCTTTACAGCAATTAAGACAAACCTATTCCTTAAACCCTAATACAGTCAAAAGTCTTTAATCCGGACTCGTGGGGACTTTGGCGATTCCGAATTATAGGTTTTTCCGGATTATAGATCATCAGTTTAAATCTGGTAAGATGGCATGCAGAAATTATATAATTAAAAATATGAAACTGTAATTTATGAAATAAAGAGCAATTATGATCTAAAGGGTATCAAAATTTACAAAAAAAAAAGCTTAATATTTATTTGTTTATTTTATTAAACATTTCTTTCAATGCGCGCATGCGTAAAGCATGCATTATGCATAGTCGAAATTAGAAAATTGCAACCAGAAAACTTATTTGATGTGCATTCGTGATATTTATAATGACGAGGAATTTGATTTAAATCATATCAAAGACGGAATACATTGAGAAGAAATACTACATTTAGTAAGGAATTATAAGCTGAATAAAATAAAAACATCTGCCCTGAAGATAAGGATAGTGCTGACAGATCAACTTCCAGTTCACTGCGTGCCGCGACGTTTTCATACAACCAAATATAACTAGGGAACATTTAACAATAATTTATTTGAATGAAACTTTGACAAATGATCTGGCTGCAAATCAGTTAGTTCTAACTGAATCTAAACTGGAGTATCCTGCCCATCAAAATTAAATAATATACTTATTAATGACATATCTTTTTGAAATTTTCTCAAATCTTCTTTCAAATTTAGTATGTATCTTTGACTATTCTCATTATACAAGATTGCATAATAGGTTAGATCAAGAAATTAAAAGGGCTGACCATTCCTGGTGTGCATCAAAAATATAAAAATCAAAATTTTATGATCCAAATTTCTTAAGGAATTGTTTTTAACATATGCCTGCACATCAAGTTTTTTTTTTTTTTTTTTTTTTTTTTTTTTTTTTTTTTTTTTAATTGTGCAACGCAAAAACAATATACCAGATTTTGTCTAATCAAAAATTTGCACTTCAAATATCACTAAAAAAGAACAAATAGATTACCTGTTTCTTCCCTAGGTCCTTCATATGGATACTTTTGACCTTTGCGAAATATCATTAAAGCTGGCCATCCCCTTGCTTCATATTTATCTGCAATCTCTTTCTCAGCAGTTCCATCTATCTTTGCTAAAGGTATAGGGGTTGGCAAATCCTTTAGAACCTTAGCTGCTCTTTCATATTCAGGAGCCAAACGTTTACAGTGGCCACACCTGCAATAATCATCATTCTTAGAAACCAGCATGTCAATTAGTTTCTGCATTGACATGTTCAACCCTTGTTTGGCTTCAATATTTGAAACAATGAATGCATTTTGAAAGACAGAAAAGCAATCTCTTGCCTTAAAAAGCAAGTAATCTTGCTATCATCTTTTGTTTTTGAAGGAAACAGCACTGTTGGAAACTGTGTCTTTACATTTCCCCATTTAATATGTGAGCGAGAGTACAAACATAATCTTGTAGCTTTGATTATATTTCACTTACATTAGTGGCAACAGGTCGAATTCTTCCACCATCAGTTTAAAGAATTTTAGAATGATGTTTTGTTTTTATTTAAGAGTTGTGTGACTGATATTTATTAACAGCAAGAGAGCTTTATTTTTGTAGCAATTTTTGAGATGCACCATAGAGAAAGTATACTAAAAAATATTAAGAGACTTGTTTAATGAATAATATGATTTTATGAATGTTTTTAGAAATGTTATGTTTATTTGTCTAAACAAGGTATTAAACGATTCTCATTCATGATCATCTTCAAATAAACATTTGTGAATTTTATAAATGAAATGTTTTTTCTGATTTGAGGTCTTTACACTGACACTGCACATCTGGCATCCCTCAACAGGATTCATCTGCATTTTTAAGCTGATTAAGTGAATATTTTCTTTCTTTTCGAGTTCATTACATTAGTTTTTATGTTGATTATGGAAGCTCACAGAAATCTTTTAATTGGTTAAAAAAAAGCTAGAACACAGCATCAGAGGTTATTTACAAAAGTGTGTAACGAATTTAATAAGAAGGAAGATGCATTGGATCTTTTTGCTAAGAAAGCAAAAATAAAATTAATTGAAGAAAAGGCTTTAATTGTGGTTGAATGCAAGGAAAAAATTAAACAAATGCTTTATTCTACAGATAATAATGAAAGATTGCTTGAATTAGAAACTGATAAATTGGAAGTGTACATAGATTGATGGCGTCCATTGCAACTAAAGTTAAAATTTTTAGAAATATCATTATCAGGTAACAAATTCTGTTGAAACTGGCAACACATCACACCAAAATTCGCTATTACCCTAAAATACAACTTCCTTTCATTTAATGGAGATGTAAGAAATCTGTTATAATTTTGGAACCAGTTCCAAGAAATTGATAAAGATCCCAATTTGTATTTGCGTGACAAATTCGTCTATTACATACCAAATTTGAGAAGCTTTGGATTGAATAATACATTTTTCCACAAAAACCTGTTCAGAGGCTTCAAGTAAAGTATCACTTCTGGTTTATCAATTTTAGTCAAAATCTAATATGTTGTTGCCATTGATACAAATGTTTTAAATACTAAAACTGAAAAATTTTGGGTTATATTTTAATATGGTTTTTCAATTAAAAACTGTTATGGGCTTCAAGTAAAGTACAACTTTTGAGTTATCCATTAAAAACTGTTTTGGATCTCAAATAGAATTTGAACTTTAAGTCAAAGGGATTGTTTTGAATAATGATGCGATTTGAAAATATATTACTATCCCATATTTTCAACCATTCCAATCATCAAGTCATATGCCTTGTATGTAAATCAGAACTTTTTAACATGAACAGTGGAGTCTGCAAAGAAAAGCACACTGTTGCCCTAAAGATGATTGCTCTTTGAATGACTATCTTGAATTATATAAATATCTTGATTACCTCTGCAGAAAATATGAGGGTGAATCAGAGTAAATTTTATTTTTAATACTCTTTTATGTGCAGTATTTTTAAACAACTTTCCTTCCCCTTTCTTACAACATTCTCCCTATATGGCAATGTAATTGTTAATATTTTTCTAATATCTTCTTTATTTTTTCAGAAAAGAAGCCATTTTCATATTCATGAAATCAGTTCTATACTTTCAACATCAGAGTTGAACATGCAACCTTGCAGCATATTTTCCAGTAAGCCAAAGGTGTAATCGCAAGTTGCCAAATACGAGCTGCAGATGTGTTATAGAACAGCCTATGCAAATGATATGGACTTGTCATCAGAGCAACATAGGAAGTTTTTATTCCATTTGTAACTACAAATAAATAATAAAGTATTAAATACATTAAAAATGTATTACTATCCTGTTTATACATTCATAGATGCAAGAAGTATATATTTTTTATTTTTTTTTTATTTTTTTTTTTTTTTTTTTCTTCTGTCAATATGCTCTCAAACAGAAATTAATGACAAGATTGTGTCTTCTGAGTACTCTTGTAGATTAAAAGAGCAATTTATAATCTTTTCTTTTAATTACATTTAACTGAAAAACCAATTTCGTACAAAGTGATTTGGATTTATGTTTATAATAAATGTTTTCAATGCAGAAAAAACACCAATTTATATAAATATGATGCCCTATTCATATCTGAAAATTTCATGAGATCTTATGGGGTTTCAGGATGCCTTATTCGATATATCTCATATATCATCTGTACTAGTAATCAATATCTATAACTATAATATCTCATATATCTTATGTATATCTTCTGTACTGGTAATCAATATCTATAACTGCATATATTATATGCAGTTATATTTATTGATTACTAGTACAGAAGATGTATCACAATTTTTAAAGGAAGATTTATGAATGTTGAGTTTATAATTTTATAAGTTTTGAATAATAGTTTTAATGCATTAGAGTATACACTCTTCAAGAACTTCAATACAGTATAACCAACAAAATTAACAATGTCAGTAACTCCCAATTTTTTTAGATGTGAAGATTTAAATCTAATTAAAAAGATAAAACATTTAATATCTGTAAGTGACAAAATAATGGAGTAACAAAAATAAAAGGGAGAAGAAGGCCACCTGCTAGATATCTGAACTATCATGAAAAAGATCTTAAAATCCTTAAAGGCAAAGACTGAAGATTATCAACCAGGAATAGAAATGCTAGTACTATTAGGATACATAAGATCTGTGTCAAACAGGAATACTCAGATATTTAACAAACATAATTTAATTCAAATTGCATTTTTTAAAATTTTACAATTATATTTATCACAATTTATATAATTCGCATTAACATCATTCTTTTCTGAGGATAATAGTATATCCAAACAATAGTAAAGTTACATTGCTATAAAAATATTTAGAAAATAAATGAGAATTTTCAACAAAATTTATATGTTAATACTCTTACCATGGAGCAAAAAATTCCACTAATATTATTTCAGCCTTTTCAATCATCTCAGTGAAATTTTCTTTAGTCAGAGTAATAACAGCTTCTGGTGGTGGTTTCCAGTTTGGATCAGAACGTTCTTTCATATATTCAACAATTCCTAAAGTATTAATTAGTTAAAAAATATTAAAGACATCTGCACAATTACAAGACATTTTCAAATATGTATATTCAATGACAAAAAAAGGTTATATAGAATCTCAATCAGTGAGAAGTGAACATAAAATCTGTCAATTAGTACATGATCCTAAAAATTTAGTACTGTTTCTTAATTTTTTAACATTCATACAAAGCCAGGTATTTTGAATTTGAAACACTCATCAGTACCCAAAGCTATTTTTAAAATATTAAAACTTTAGCTACTGGCAGCCTATACGTTAGCAATTCTTAATCTGCTAACATGAGTAATAGAAATTATTAACATCAAAAACTAGTTACTGTTTTCATTACATAAAAATTTTGAAAATTGCATCCTGTCAAAACAGGAAATTATTAACAAATAATGAACTCCAACACTCCCACATGTAACATGCTGATCTTTAATTTTTGACACATAAAATAATACAGGTACAAAACTATACGATTCAAAAGCTTGGTAAGAACATAACTTATAACAAATGGAAACTAAAATTATAAATTTCAAAAATATGTGGTAGAAATAATGTTACATGTTTCCAATGTAATGATCAGCAATTTCATTCGTAAGACCGAGACAAACTTGGACACAAGTAAAGTGCAATATTCTTGATTTCCTTTGTGATTGTTTCAAATCATCGAATGCTGCAGAATACATTCAACTGACACATATCAATTCTGAAACAATAATCTTTACATCATATGAAACTCACTGAACCTCATATATTAATCCATTGTATATGGGGCTTATTATAATTTTTCTTCAGCTCATTTTGTAATCATAGTTTAAAACGGATATAATGCTTCTGTGCCACCTAATATATATACACACACACAATAATCATACAAAATGTATCTCATGATAATCCCAACATGACTCGTATAACAAAGAAACTTAACAAGAAAAATAACTAGCAATAAATAAGAAGTTATAAGAACCTTAATGTGCCAACCTGAATAATTTAAAGTAATTTATGGAAATAAAGCACTGCTATGTATGAAAGATGATGACAACAGAAACTTACAAACAATAAAATAGTTCAGACAATGTATAATAAATGACTTACCTAGAGCAGATCTTGGCCCATCATACAAAACCTTTTCACCCTTTTTAAATATGTACAAAGTTGGGTAGCTAGTCACATCATAACGTGCAGCAAGGTCAGTTTCAATTGTTGCATCTACTTTAGCTAGATGAATAGGTGGATCTTCATTTTTTAAAATTTTTGCTGCTTTAGAATATTCTGGTGCAAGGGCCTTACAGTGTCCACACCTATAGGATAAAAATAAAATTCAATAATTAATTAGTCCTAAATTTCTTTGAATAATTCCATTTTCAAATAACCTTCCAATTTATTAGATTTTAATATATACAAGAAATTCTCACATTTAAAAAAATGAGCACAATTTAGTCACAGTTTGGAATAAATAAGCAAAATTTGGTCACATTTTTCATGTTAGATGAGTAATAATGAAAAAAAGTACTACCTATTTTTATGCTTTTCATGCACTTAATACTTCTTCTTCATGTTTGCTGTTACTCAGGAATACAGACACACAGCAGGCTGATATCAAAAGAAGTTTCTTACTTTTTCAAATGAGATTAAATTTTGTTTCCCATTATAAATAATAGTCTTCAAAATAAAATTTCTTTACCTTATTTTTCATTCCCAAATATGTTACTCATATGTTTCACAAATTCAATTAAGTTATTTCCTCTTCTTTTCAGCTTTTAATTTTTAATAAATTTATAATAAATTTTACCATTGTTGTTTAATGCATATTATTCAAACTATTATTCAAACTAAACAGAATTTTACATGAAGAAAAAACATTTTTAATTGTAGTGGCATTTAAAACTTCCAAATAAAATGGTGATTCTGCACAAAGTCTGACCTAGAGAGAGTCGTCGGAATTTCGGCGATTCCAGATTTGCGATTTTTTTGGATACTATATTATCAGTTTAAATACAATAAGATGACATGTAGAAATTATAAAATTAAAAACATGAAATAGTCATTTGTGAAATAATTAAGCATTTAAGATCTGCAGAAAAATCGGGGGGGGGGGAAGAGAGAGCTTAATATTTAATTGTTTTATTAAATATTTCTTTCAATATAATTTGTCTAAATTTGCTTTGTTTTTTGTGCTAAGACTTCCTATATAATTCTATAGATAGATATAATTTCTTGTTTAGTTACAAAGTTTCATTGTTTAAGTTCTGTAATTTCTAAATATAAAGAATTCCCACTAAATTGTCAACTGAAATTTTTTTTTTCTCAACAACCTCTCACTTTCTTTGCTATCAATCACGATACTTTCTGGATTATAGAAATATACTACAGGTCATCCTTTAGTTGATTGATGACTGGGCCATTATCACTTCAACAAAAAACTTCAGTTATAACCATCTTCATTTATTATCACTTCGTTTTTACACAAATTTCATTAACTGAAAAATTTCACTTTTTCACTTGTGATATCTGAACACCTTCAAACTTGCATCTATCATCATATAGCTAGTGCCTGCTATGCACTCCTGGCAATATAAAATAAGATCAGCAACTAAACATATGTTCCACTAAATTTTGTTTCGTATCTATTGCATGCTGACAAAGTTAAGTTTGAATTATATTATTTATTATACTTACGCCTATTTCCGACACATGATTAAGGCTTATCTGAGTCTAAAATAAATAAATTCTGACATATGCTTATCCAGGGCTGGTACTAGAAATTTTGGGGACCATGCAGTCTCTATGGGTTCGAAATTCTGCACTCAAGTGCCTCCTTAAATTCTAAAACTTTGCTATCCCTTAATTTCGTTGCTCGATGTTTCTTTCAATTAAAAAAAAAAAAATTGCCTTTCCTAAATTCTGCCACTCAGTGCAGTCACTCCAGCTGTGACACCGATCCTAGGCTTGTTTGAATAACAAATCAGTTATTCTCAATTCGAACAGCAATAAATCTAAACTTTTGGCCTATGAGTATCACTTACAAAATTCAATTTTTGCAAGTGGAAAGGAATTTCTGTTAAATTTCTCCTCGTCAACACACTCAGTACTTTGCAGCAGAGTTAAACTGAAGTCCGTAATAATCGCCAAGCCTAATGCCAGTATAAAAGGAATTCAGTTACTAATATTAAAAAAAAAAGTATTTAGACATTGTTGGGCAAGGTCATTTCTCAAGCTGCAATATGTGGAAGTGTTGGGTGATGAAAGCGAAAAATTATAAATAATGATTTGCGAGGTTGACATGAGTGCTGAAATGAAATTAAGAATCAGGATTCTTCACGTTTTATTATGGAAAATATCAAATTTGCAAGCATAAAGCATTTTTTAAAATATTTTTTTTTTTTTTTTTTTTTTTAAGGTGGCTGGTGATCCAAAGGTCTGGATTTTAGATTATTTCAGATACTAGGATGTTCAGATTTTGTTTTGAACTTTGGTATATTTAATATAAAAAGGGAGAATTCCTATGTATAGTATTTATAATACTTCAACAAAAATCATATTTTTCATATCTTATACCTATAAAAATTTTAAATGTGATAAAAAGCACAAAATATTGAAAGAAAATATTTTTGCAATAATTATACTTCTGTTCCACTAGATGTCTTTACCCACATAACATCAGTATAAAATGGAAAGTATTTACACAACATGCATTTGAACCTGATATACATGTCTAGCAAAAACAAATTGTAAATTCTTAAATAAAATATGATTTTAAATAAATGTAGTCCATTTTGTTTTTCATAACTTAACTATGAAACGAAAAACTTGAGGGATTAAAAAACTTCAATGCAAGATAAGTTCAAATGTTGGAAAATTCCATCAAAAAGAAATGCTTATTAAGTTATTAACAGGCATTTCTTTTGGGAGATTACATGAATCGTGATTAGACATTTAGATTTTACAGAGCCTAACCTGGTTTAATTACGTAGCTTAAATAATAAAAAGTTATTTCAAAAGAAAAAATACACATCAGAACTTTTAAATGCGACACATTACAATGTGCACAGGTGGAGAAACAAAGGAAAGTTTAAATGTGTTTTTTTTAGTAATGTAAAAATATCTAATATGTGTATGCGTGAACAAAATTTGTGAACATAAAAAGCTTCAACAATATCCAAACTTTGAATTTTACCTAGTTTAAAAAAAATTCAGAAAACTCGTATGCATACTTTCTTGAAACCATAATGAATAATATCCTATAATCATAATATTCTGTCAAGCTGAAAGTTTTTAAAATTGTTTTTGGTACTTATATATTTCTATGTCAACTGTAAAAGATGTCACAAGCCATCCAAACATGGCCCAACCATTTTGGCAGAAATTTATAACAAACTGTTCTTTATTCAGTTAGATAGTCAGATACATTTTACAAATAATAGCATATAAAAATTAGCTAGATTTGAGATATCTAACAAATTCATTAAAACTAACACCAATCATTCTGGCATCTAATATTCTATAAATGTGTTTAAAAAGCATGAAAACTGACACCCTCTTTGTGAATTCATTACCACATAAGTTTACTTAATTACTAATCTAGTTGATTTCACTAGACACGGCAATTTTTATTGGCACAGTTTTTTTTAAACAATGGTATTTTTTACTGCATCATTTCCCTGACCTGCCTTACAATGCAGATCTTTCAATGTTTTAAATATAGCAGTGTAACTAAGTATATATGTCTATCAGTGTAAGGCTAAGCATACAATGCAAATTAGCATTGTTTGAAAGTGTAACTGAATTTATGCAACTGAAAGTCACTGCAGATGGCAACTATAACTTTGAAAATACATCACTGCTGGTAGTTCTGTAGAAGGTAAGTCCTAAATTCTAATTTTTTTTTTTTTTTCCAAAAATGCAAGAGGGAAAAAAAAGTTAATTTATATTCTTCTTTATAAAAACTAAACTGATTAATTGAGAATCAGGGTTATTTAAAACCAAAATAAAGATCTTGTAAAGAGAAGAAGCATATCGCAATTTCACATACCTCCATTACTGATATTAAATTGCATCATGCAGCAATAGCTTTTACTTGTCCAAAAATGGTCAAGAGGAAAATAAGTACTTTTTTAAAAAAAAAACAGATGAGTGTTGTCTCACGCATTGGAGTGAGATGATCATTCAAAGATGTTGCTCTTTTCATCAGGATTGATCACTAAGTAATTTCGTGACTGTGAAAACAATTCCAAACAAGTCAAAACGGTTGCCAGGGGACCTGTGCCCCAATTGACCAAAGGTAACAGTTTCTTCTGAAGGTTAGTATATTGCAACTACGAGGGCCATCCAGGAAGTAGATTACGTTTCCGTCTGTGTCCGCTAGGGGCGGGGCTAGCGCGGCCATCTTGGGGTCAGAGCGTTGCGCAGCTCAGTCTGCATCTAGCCGTGCTAGTGAGAGGTTCGTGCTGTGCTCCGTTCAGATACTGTGACGGTTTGAAATGTCTGCGTTAATTGAAAATCCCGCGAGCTGCGAGGTGCGCTCAGTAATAAGGTTTCTGACTGCAAAAAACTGTAAACCGATAGAAATCTATCGGCAGCTTCGTGAAGTGTATGGGGACAACATTATCACTGAAGGTGGAGTGCGTCAGTGGGTCATAAGATTTCAAAATGGCCGAACCAATGTTCACGACGAAGATCGAAGTGGAGACCCAGCATAGTGACCGCCGAACTTCTCGAAAAAGTCGATGCTAAAGTCCGTGAAAAATCGAAATTTCACAATAACGGAACTTTCTTTGAGTTTTCCACAAATTTCGCGAAGTTTGTTGCACGAAATCATCAGCGAAAAGCTTGGTTACCACAAGTTTGTGCAAGATGGAAGGCAAGAAGAGGTAACGAAGTGGTTTGAAGGCGCAGGCGGCCGAATTTTTCGACGAAGGAATTTCCAAGCTCGTACATCGCTACGATAAATGCCTTAATTTGTATGGTGACTATGTAGAAAAGTAGTATTTGAGTGTGGCTTTCATCTGTATATAATAAAATTTGTTTCCTATACTTTGTTTATTTTTTTATTCCAAAACGTAATCTACTTTCTGGATAGCCCTCGTATATACACTGGCCAATGAATTAGAAACCCAAGGTCAATATTTTATTTGACCACCTTTTGCATTGATAACTGCTCTGATTCATTTGTGCATCGAGTCTACATGCTTCTGGAATGCATTTAGGTGCACAGAATACCATGCATTGGCTATGCAGCTTTTTAGATCTTGTAAATTAGGTGGTAGAGGAGAGCGCTGTTAGATGCATCTTTCCACCATATTTTATTAGACCACCTTTTGCATTTTCTATGAGGTTAAGATCTGGGCTATGCAGTGTCCAGGGAAGGTGTTGGAAATCAAACTGATGTTCAGCGAACCAATTTTTAATACTTTTGGCACTGTGTATAGTTGCTATTTAACTAATTATTAAAAACTTTACTATCAAAAATAACTATTTTATCATTTTGACCTGTTTACTGAAAGCATACTGTAATGTGGATTTATTTTAACATATGACACTTGCTGATTAATCTTCAATTAGAGATGCAAATGGGATTGCTACAATATTTAGATATCAGTATCAAAAAACTTCGGTTGATCTTTACAATATGGTAACTGGTAGTTTGGCGACATTTTGGAGGCGATAAAGGTTACTACCTGGGACTTTGGTAATAATGTGAGCAGTACTCAGTTCCGATTACGCATTATTTTGTGTGAGGGAAATGAGAGATCATGGGATATGTCATGTGATATTAATGGACGAATTACGGTTTTTTAATCAGAAAAGGGGGGAAATCGGGAAAAAATCTGGAAATTTTGTATTTGGTTTATTCTGTGTTGTGTGAAACAGTGTTCATGAATTTTTGGATCCCATGGCCGTAACTAAAGAAAAGTTTATCGGACACGTAATCAAGATTCTGAAGAAGATGAGGTAAGTTAGTATTTTTAATTATGGATATTATTTTTATGGAGGATATTATTTTTATGCATTGTTCTAAATGTAAGGAGTAAATAAATTAATATGGTATTATTGGAAAATTGTTATTAGCAATGATTTAGTTTAAAGTAATTAGGATTGTAAGCTATTTTTTTATTAATAATGTAGGTGCTTATTTATATTTAAGTAGTTTTTAAATTTATTATTATATTTTAATTAAATGATAGTTATTTTGTGAATTTTATGTTTGTAGGAATTTGGTTACGTTTAAGTTGAAGTAAACGTGCATGGAAATAATTTAAATATTTGATACTAAGTATTTGTAATGCTTGCGGTATGAATTCGTTGGTGACGTGTATAATTAATAGATGATTTAGAGGTAAAAGTTTTTGGATATTTTATTATTTTATATGTGGAAATGTTCATATTTGGAAAGGGTAAATACTTTTTCGCGATCAGGTAATTTCATATATGTTCTTTTTACCGGGTTTAAAGATTGAGAAAATTGTCATGTATTTTCGTGAATTTTTCTAATTTATGAGAAAAAAGCAGTGTACATGGATATAGTGAAGAGTGTGCGCAATGCCATTTTTGTGCAATTCTGGGATGTTAAGTAAAAATAAGTCGGCGTGTACATGGTTTATGTGTATGTGTTATTTTGAAAAACGCATGAGTATGGTATTGTGCACTTTTTCCCAATTTTGCAGTGAATATTTGTCATGATTAAGCAGTTTTGTTAGATAAAGTTTCTAGCATAAGTGTAATTCGGCTAGTAGATTGTTGGAAGAAGTGTTAAGTAAATAAAAAGGAAAGAAACATGTCTTTACTTCGTGAAGACAAAATGGCGGCGGGAAAAAAAAAATAGAGGGTTGCTGTAGGAGAGTTGGTCGCCAAATTTTCGCCAAAAAAACACCAAGTTACCATAATGTTAAGATCAACCAAAACTTCTTTCAATATCTAAAGACACTACCATATTTCACTAATTATTGCCTTTACGACTGTAGCCAAACAAATATTTGAGAATCAATCTTGTATTGACGAACTAAAAATTAACCCATTATCTTATTGGCAAAGCAATAAATTCTATCAAAATTATTTTGTCCTTAACTCACTAGCAATGCATTTTTCTGTTCACATTCTATATACTTTGTTCTGCTTAATAATTGAGTTTAATATACACATTTTTCCTATAAATATCTTCTTTACAGAAAAGTCAATAACTGTACTTCTAACTGAAAATTGAGTGAAACATTTAGTAAGATATCAAGATAATAAATTTAACGAAATATTATGGAAATTAAGAGCTTTTTTACCAAGGAGCATAAAACTCAACAAGTATAATATCCTTTGATGCAATCTGTATATCAAAATTTTCCCGGGTAAGTACAAGAACATCATCTTCTACAGCCGTAGTTATCACTCCTCCATCTCCTTCAACAACAGGTATATCTGAAAAACAAATCAATACACTATACATTCAACTCAAATTTTATTTATTTTAAAATTTTATAAAAGAACACAAGCAAATCATACCTTCATCAAAGATATCATCTTGACATAAACAATTTTTAGATACTATAACAGCATAAATAAGAATCAACAGGGACACCTGTCGTGTCATAATTTTACACGAGGTAGAAAGAAGTCTTTAATGGGCATAAAAATTTTACTGTCTAATTTAGTGAATTGTATAATTATCACTACACACGCCGGCACCAAACACTGACGTACACTTAATATTCTTTATCATTTAAAGAGAGCAAGATGTTGTTGCCATATTTTCATTCCAAATAACGAAACTGAAATAGTTTCCAGTGGATCCAGAATGACTACTAAAACAAAAAATGTCAATATATATTCTTTGACTAAAATGCTCTCTAAATATGAAAAATAAATTCTACATGTTGTTAAGCAGTTTAATTGTAACTTATGTCTTTATCTATCTGGAAAAAATTCTTTGTTATAAGAATATTACTTAGAGCAATCGTTCGAAAACATTAGTAGGCCCACCAGCGGCCGAGCGGTAAAGTCGCTGAACACTGGTAGTTCGGTCCGAGGTTCGAATCCCGCGAACGGGCTGGCTGCATGGGTTTTTCGTGGTTTTCCCCATGTGTAACGTGTATACGAGCCAGTTTCCCTTAGAAAGTCCTCCACGAAAGGCATCCCTCCCCTTAGGCAGATAGCCCTCGTGTGCTTTGCCATAATTAAATACACCAACACACCGAAAACATTAGTAAAATTTCTCTCTCACATCCTATTTTTTTAATTGCTTGAATTTATGTCTGATCATTGATGATACAACTTTTTGTAAAGTTGTAATATTACTGGCATCACATTCACTTTCGATGACAGCCATTTTTAAGTATTCATGTTATGTAAACAAAAAAATGTTTCACGTCTGATGTGTTCTTATATGGAAAGGCGTTTCCTTTTACGCATAACTTACAACATTCGGTTTTAGATTAGCGATAGAACTGACTCTGTCTAATACTTTGAAAATGCGCAATCGGGTACTTGAAATCTAATATAAAACTTACCCATTTGAGTTGCGGAAGTACATTACATTTCATATTTTCCGTTATTTTTAAGTAGAAAAATTTTGCTTATCGATCAAAGAACATATATTTAATATTTATAAATAATCATTTATTGTGTAAGCTATTATCTCGTGTGCATTTAAAAATTGTGTAAACTATCTGACAGTTTTTTAGCCATGTCGAAACCACCAAACGAAAATCTGACTACTTATAAATTAGTTGTTGTGGGTGATGGAGGCGTCGGAAAATCTGCATTGACTATTCAGTTTTTCCAAAAGCTGTTTGTTACAGATTATGATCCTACCATTGAAGATTCTTATATCCAGCATACTGAAGTAGATGGGCAGTGGTGTGTTCTTGATGGTAAGTGCATCCTTTATTCTTCAAATTAATTAGTAATAAATATAAATGGAATATATATTTTTTTAACAAAATAAGGTAAATAATTCACAACTCTATGATAAATTAACACATTCAGTCCTGTACATTTAATTCCACTAAAAGTGCAGAACTAAACAACGGGGACTTATAATTCACATATCTCAGATAGTTTTCATGAAACAAAAATTCTCAATTGGATAAAAAGTGGGAGATCAGTCAACAAAGCTGCTGAGAATTTTATTCTCCATTTGATACCTTATTAAAAATTTCATGCAGACTATTATATATGTAATATCTTTTAGTATTGGATTCCTAAATTATTCATATAGTATTTGAGAGATGAGGTATTTAACTTTGTGATCCACATGCATAGAATTGCAATTGATTGTGTCCCACACTGGGCTGGGATAGGGTTTTAGAACCTGCCTACAAATTCAGAAATGGAGCCTTTAGGAAATTTGTAATTTTTGCTTTTTTTGTGCATTGTAGGAGATTTTAGGAGGGGATTAAAATTCGTACATGAAAATCATTTCTTCTGTGTGTGTGTGTGAGAGAGAGAGAGACAGAGAGATTGACATAGGTATGATTTAATTTTTAGTACCAGAGATGTTGTATTCTGCATTCTCACCTTTTTGTCTGTATCTCTTTTTGGATAAAAGATTGTTGTTACCAAATCTTATTGCCGTGTGTGGGGGATTTTTTTTTTTTTTTTTAACTTTCAAGTGCCTGCCATGCATTTGGTTGTTTTTATAAAAATTGTAAAGTTTCTAGTTATGAGAATAATTTATAGATAATAATTAGAAACACCGTGTGGCAAATGATAGTTCATCATTTGCCATGTGCGAAAAAGCATGGCAAGTGCGTAACAGAAGCATGGCAGCTCGGTAATGGAAAAAAATACTATGCTTAACATTTGACATTTTAACTAATTTAAATTTATTTAACTGTTCATCTACATCTGGGGACAAACCTGCTTGCCAATTTGCTTCCCTCGTGTAATTAATTTCTTTTAAATTCATTGGTTTGTGTGTTCAATTTTTGTATTTTTCTGCAATGGATTTGAAAATTTGGGATATATTCCTTCAGAATGTAGGTCTTATCCATAAAGACAGAATGTGTTCAAATAAGCATTCAGTGCCAGAGGCTAAATGGCTCTTCTTTCTGTTGTCATGCAGAGAAGAGAAAAAAGAACACCTTTAGTATTGGTCCTTTTGGCGATTTTTTTATTTGGCGACAAACTTTGGTCGCCAAGGTAGACCCGGTTTCGAAGATCGGAAAAAAATGGCGGATTGTGAACAAAACCCGATCTAGACTAAATAACAATCCTAAAAAATAAGCTCTTAATCAGAATAAACAGTCTTTCTCTAATTTTCAATATTTCTAGTACTGCTATGATAAATTCTTGAAACACTACTGTAAATGAATTTATGACAATTATTATGTTATGAGTAATGAAATTTACAAAATGTTAATATTTTTAATTACAAAATATAATGTATTAAACATTAATATTTTAAGTAGTTAGTTCATATTTATATTTTATTATATTAGTACTTAGCTAATATTTTAAATTTACAAAAGGTTAATTTTTATGTTTATGAATAATGAAATTTACAAAAGGTTAATAAATGCATTTCAAACTAGTATATGTTACTTTAGTTTCTTAGATTCTGTTATTAAAAGAAAATAAAAAAATATTTCAAAGTGAAGGAAATCAAATTCAATTATAATGGGCAAGTTTTGTACCAGTGTTAGAAATATTTTTTATGATTAAATATTGTAAATGGTAAAAATATTAAGAAGTGTGTATTTTTTAATCCCTCAATTTATTAGAAGTAATTTATGATTATAATTTAAAAGCTAAAATTAAATTATCATAATGAGTAAATTTTGTACCAATGGTAATAATACAACAATCATCGTAAATGATGATTTGTGTGAAAATTCGAACAGTCATTGGAATCCACTAGTGGTGGAGTGATAGCCACTGAACAGTGATAGTTCAGGCTGGCTATATGGGAGTTTTAGTACAGTCAAAAGTCGTTAATTCGGACCTCAAAGCTACAAACTTTCTGCACATGCGTCGCGTTGACGTGCGTAAGACCTTTACGGCTGCAAATTTGCATGTGTGCGTGCGCAAAATACGTTTACGAATGCGCGTTTAATGTATAACAGATGGGGGATAAGCTAAGCTAAAATTATCTAATTATCTATTTCAGTTAATGTTGCAGATTGCGTTGTTCCTTAATCTTCGAATTGGATCCGGCTTATTATTTTTTGCAGACTGTTAGAGCAATTTTATAAAAGTAAGCTTGAACTTTCGATTATTTCAAATAGAATTTTCGATGTATATTTACTAATATGTAAAGGATATACAAAGCGAAAGTATCTTTCGGAGTCCATTAAACAAAAAGTGGAATTGCTGCAAAAAATGGATAAAGGCATATCCTTTGTTTATCTAAACTTTGTTTATCTTTAACACTGCGGACTGCAATGAATTGAAAGTTGATCTGTCAACACTATCCTTATCTTAAGGGCAGATGTTTTTATTTTATTTGGCTTATAATTGCTTACTAAAATGTGGTATTTCCTCTCTATGTACTCCGTCTTTGATATGATTTAAATCAAATGCCTCGTCATTATAATTCTCTTCCGATAGCGAAGAAAGTGACAGAGGTTATTGAAAACGAAAAAATTTCGATTGACAAATTAGTCAGTAGACACAGCAATTATAGGACTTGAACAGCGGAACTTTGTAACTGAACAAGAAATTATGTCTGTTTATAGAATTAAAGAGAATGTATTATCACATAAAAAACGAAGCAACTTAAACAACGTACATTGAAAGAAATGTTTAATAAAGTAAACAAATAAATATTAAGTTTTTTTTTTTTTTTTTTTTTTTTTTTTTTGTAAATTTTGATACCCTTTAGATCATAATTGTTCTTTATTTCGTAAATTACGGTTTCATATTTTTAATTTTATAATTTCTGCATGCCATTTTACCAGATTTAAGCTGATGATCTATAATCCGGAAAAATCGATAATCCGGAATCGCCGAAGTCCCGACGAGTCCGGATTAACGACTTTTGACTGTAGTTTTCCGTAGATGTAATGTGAATCTGAGCCAGTTTCTCTTAAAAAGTACTTTATGAAGGCATCCTTCTTCTGCTAGCCAGCATATGTATATATTTTCTATTCATAATTCTCTCTTATTTTCTTATTTCTTAATTCTAAATCTTACTTCTGAAGAGAAGAAGTGTTGCATATATAGGTCGAAAAATATGGTCAATATGTTTGCAAAATCCTGTCAGTTTTGGAAAGCATTTAAATAAACTAAATAATTTGTATGTGATGCAAACGAAAATGCATTACACTATTTCATGTACTGAATAATTAATCAGGGAACAAAGTATATTGTAACGTTCCTTTATTTTGTAACCAGAGTTATTTTATGCTTGGGATCTTTACTGTCAATTTCCTCCATCCGTTTTCTCACCAGAATCCAAAATGAAGTTTTTATTTGTAAAACAAACCGTGTTTTGCCTTTTGAGGCCACATTAATAGGTTGCTAGATAAGAAAAGATTTGTAGTCTTCAGCCTTGCATTATAATTGCTGATAGTTGAATTCCATGCCAGTTAAGTTTTTAACCAACTTTGCATTAAATTGATTTGTGCAGCCTTTGGGCTACAAATTTATTTGAATTTAAATTTTACATTTGAACTTAATTGTTATCATAAGTTATCTTGCCACAAGTGGTTGACTGAGTCGTAAGCACAAAGTGTGCCTTCTGTTCTGTACATCTAAACTTTATAATAGAATAAAAGTATATCTTAACTTAATAAGAATATATCTAAACTTTATGATAATAACATTTAAAGACATTGAAATCAGTATCTAAGTGCTTGCCATGTAGTCAAATTTTTATATATAAATTGTACTCTTACTTTTATTATAGAGTTTTTATTACAAAAAATTCAGATTTCTGTTAGATAAAATGTTTAAGTAATGTAGAAAATTTGCATAAAATTTAAAATAAAAAGTCGACTGTTATGTCAACATACTATTAATAAAAGTAATAATACTCAGTGAAGGTTATTCATATACAGCTGTTAGGTTGTAAGATTTACAAAATTTGAGAACTCTAAATTATAAGCAATAATCCATAATCTAAGCATTCCATAATCTAAGCAACATTATATTTTTTATAGTCAGACAAATTATGAAAATGTTATAAAAGCAATAATGAAACCTGATTTTGGTCCTGATTTGAACCTATGAATTCATGCAATTACACATCCCTATAGTTCTAATATGAGGTAAATAAGTATTTTTAGACCATGGTAATTTTGATCTCCTTAGCAAAGGAAACACCAAGAGTTTACCTCATGCTACTGAAAATGTGTTTTTTTTTTTCCTTGGGGGGGTGGAGTTTATAATAATATGCAGAGTTGACATATGAAAAAATGTCAAGACTCATGTGATGTAATATTAAAAGCACCAGTTTTAACTATCAAATTTTGGCTTTTTAAAAAATATTTTAAATGTTGTGCTTTCCTAACACAAAAGTAACTTTAAGAAAAACACACAATTTATCCCTCCTGCCATCAAAGCTCTGATACCTATCAAATTCGTTAAAGTTACGTGGACAGAAATGGCGGCATGTTTGAAAGCTCAGTATTTAGGGTTACCAAGGTTATCATAATTTTTCATTTATCGCTCCAAAATGTCGCCAAACAAATTTCTCGCCAAAAAGGACTAATACTAAAGCTGTGCCGAGAAAGGTATCCGAGAAGGAACATGGTTTGAGAACTCGCACATTATGTTTCTTTCTAGTCTATGATTTATTTAATTGTGGTGTGAAGAGCTGACTTATTTTTGTGAATGACATCTTCAAGTAAATCACAATATGCTTGTGAACTGGGACAATTATCTCTCAGAGGTTTGTTACAATTCTTTGATGTCTTGCCCTAAAGCTAAGATCGGCGGTACTGACAAAATTGTTCAAATCTATGACAAAACACAAAATCACAAAAACACATCAATCACAAAAAAGAAATCTAACATTGGTTGCACAGAACTTCAGGCACAGTATTGTATCTAAGAACAAAGTATTGAAGATTGAATTTGGCCCTTATTTCGTGCATTATTAAAGGATTGCATGGTTTTAAAATCTTATCAACTGTTACAGAGAGAGGAAGAGAACTTCTGCAGTCTAGGACTCTCTGAAAAAAACCACTGTGTGTTTTAAGATTTTAAGGTAAGTTCTGGTAAATAAGTTTTTCGAAAAGACATTATCAAGATGTAATAATTTTTCATATAGAATGGTAGCTTTCTTTTTGAAGATTGTTTTCATTGGTTTAATATATGTAAATAATAACAATTCTAGCTTTCTCTTTGAAGATTGTTTTCGTTGGTTTAATATATGTAAATAATAACATAGAGTCATTTGGCATAGTTTTAACTGTGCCTGTAATAAGCCTGAGAGTGTACTTTTATATGATCTCCAGTTTGTTCATCAGACTTTCGGACCTAGTTATTAGTGGTTCACAACAGTAAGTGAATCCTGGCAGAATGAAAGTATGGTAAATAATAAATAGGATTGAATGTACACATCCCCAAAGACAGTCAGCAAGTCTTTTTAGGATAGATAAAAAGCTTTTTTGCACGGTTAGAAATATACTCAATATGTTTTTTCCAGCATAGTTTGTAGTTAAACACAATACCTAAAAGTGCCCACACTCTCTACTACTGTATTTTGGTAATATAGTGTTGGTTTTAAATTTTGATTCATCAAGGCAAAGGTCTGAGTAGCAGTTTTTGCAGGATAATTGGTCGTATTATTTTCTTTGCTCCATGTCTCTGGCATGTTAAGTGTTTTTAGAGTTGCCTTGATTGAAGATTAGGTGTGCCTCTTTGACGACTGCATCCACAAGACCAAATCATCGGCAAAAAGCAGGCCTTCAACACCTGGAACTATACTGATTGCATTAGATCTTTGATGTAAATATTGAAAAGGTAGCAGCTGGAAACAGCTCCCTATGGTAGACCAGTTTGGAAACTATAGCTTTTAGGTAAACAATAGCCAACCTTACAGTTTCTTTGGCCAAAAAAATTAAATAAACCAGTAAAGCATCGTAGATCAGATACTGATAGTGGACAGAGTTTTGTAGTTTGTGAAAGATGGCAATGATGTAAATGCAACTTAAGGGTTGTTATATTATTATCTCAAATTATGAATATAATTTCTATTATAAGAGTAATAGGTTTATGAATGAATTCCATCATGATGGCTTCTAATTCACTTTTTCTTGATGAAAGAATACATACTAATATAATGCTCAAAAGTTAAATATTCTCAAAAATAAAAATTTGGACAGCTGCTTGAATAGAAGGGTGACACTATCTATTTAAAATTCAAAATGCTATTAAAAAAAACCAAAAAAAAAAAAAAAAAAACAATATTTGGGAAATATTTATTGTTAATATGACATAAAATGGGGATTTTTTTTCTTCCCATTCCAAGTTTTGAAGATATGTCCTTTGTTTCAGAGAACTTTTTCAGTTATTCACTGCATTTTTTAAAAAATTTATAATAACTTGTCCAGAAATTTGCCAATATTAAAAGGGTGTAATATATTTCTGCTAAGACTGCCTGAAAGGTACATTGTTTTGTAAAGTGTAACTAGAAAAGTTAAAAAAAAAATTGGGTTAATCTTTGGATTATGGTAACTTGGTGATTTTTTGGCAAAAATTTGGCGACCAACCCTGCTACAGCAACCTGCTAGTTTTGTTTTGTACACCATTTTGTTTTCACGAAGTAAAGGCATGTTTTTTTTTTTTTTTCAACTCAAAATTGTTTCCAACAATCTGCTAGCTGAATTACACTTATACTAGAACTTTTATGGAACAAAAATGCTTAATCATGACGAAGATTAGGTGCGAAATTGGGAGAAAGTGCAGAATCACAAACTGCTTGCCGCGTTTTTAAGAATTGCACATACACGGTATCCATGTACACTTCGACCTATTTTCACTTAAAATGTCAAAATTGACAAAAATCCAATTGTTCGTACTCTTGTAAAAAGCGCAAACAAATAAGTGGGCGATTCTGCACTTTAGCAGCGAAATTGTTTCCAAGTGCTTATTAGCTAAAATCACGATCGGAATTTTCCAGAAAATGTCGCATTACATGTCTCATGATCTCTCATTTCTCCGAGACAAAAGAATCTGTGATTCGAACTGTGTACTTCTCAGAATATTGCTAAAATCCTAGCTAGTAGCCTTTATCGCCTTACAAAATGTCGCCAAACTCCCTGTTACCATATTCCAAAGATTAGCCCCTGTCACTTCTTAAATTTTGTTAATTGTATTAAAAATTTTCAGTATTAGATACTGCTGGTCAAGAGGAGTTCAGTGCAATGCGTGAACAGTACATGCGCAAAGGTGATGGATTTTTGCTGGTGTATTCTGTGACGGACAAGCAGAGTTTTGAAAACATCCGCCATTTCCATACTCAGATTCTTCGTGTCAAAGATAGGTATGTTGACTGTTTGTTAATTGTTGACTGTTTGTTAATTCCTAATAGCTCAGCATTTATTTAATTTTAAATGGCATATAAATGTAAATAAAATAGAGAATCATTCCCGAATGTTCATATCTGTCAGTGAGCTAACAAATATTGATATTAGTGAGTCAATATAAATAGTAAATCAATACAGTGTTTTACCAGTGTTATTTATAAATATACTTTAAAAATATTTATGACATCAATATTAAGTACTGGCAATCTCAACTAATTTAGAAGTGTATATACCCATAGACGATAGTGTATTTCGATGTGAGCTGTAACTTCAAATGAGAATATTAAGTCTTATCTGATGAATTGTGTCTTTATTTTTTTTTTTCAAATAAAAAACATAGTAACATATAAACACATATAAATATAAAACAAAAACCAAGTTAGTGCAAAATAGTTAAAATTACCCATACAACCTTTAAAATATGAAAAACAGAGAGGAAAAAATAAACAGTTTCTGGGAAGAATGAAAACAAGGAGCACATACCCTTTCATGTATTTGTAATAAAAACAGATATCTTCTTTTCTGTTTAAATAATTTTGTTTGTTTATTTTGTTTATTTTATGGAAGTTTTATAAACAATAAGTACGAGGGCTGTTAAATAAGTATTTAGTCTAAAATTATAAAAAAATACAGAATAGCTTTAATTGTCATCAATTACCTGGTCTTTTTCAAAATAACTACCACCGCATGCGAAGCGTTTATCACAACGTTCTGTCCACTTCTGAAAAACATGTAAAAGTCCGTTTTTTGAGAGCTTTTTCAAAACTGTCTCCGCAGCCTTTACACATTCTTTGTTGCTTGCAAAATGTTTGCCTCGCAATGGTGTCTTAAGTTCAGGAAACGGCCAGAAATTGCATGGAGCGAGATCAGGACTGTATGGAGGGTGCAGTAAAATCTGTAGAGATTTGTTCTGCTGCAAAACATCCTGTACACAACGAGCAATATGTGGTCGGGCATTGTCATGATGCAATAGGAAGCCATTTCGGAGCAATGGATGTTTCCTTTGAACGTGCTGTACCAATTGTTCGTAGGACATTCATGTGGTACGTGCTGTTTACAGTGTTACTGGATTCGACAGCGTGTTGATACGCAATTCCTTCATAATAAAAAAAATTATAGTTATAACTGTACCAGCCGATTTCACAGTTTTTGCTTTCTTGGGAGTACGGAGAAGACGAATGCTTCCATTCACTACTTTGTTGTTTCATGGTTGGGTCATAGTGATACAACCAAGTTTCGTCTGCTGTGATGATGCGTTGGTTGATCTTTGCATTATGGTAACTTAGCGATTTTTTGGCGAAAATTTGGTGACCAACTCTGCTACAGCAACCCTCTGTTTTTTTTTCGCCGCCATTTTGTCTTCACGAAGTAAAGCCATGTTTCTTTTCTTTTTACTTTACCTGAACACTTTTTTCCAACAATCTGCTAGCCGAAATTACGCTTATGCTAGAAATTTTTTGGAACAAAAGTGCTTAATCATGACAAATATTAACTGCAAAATTGGGAGAAAGTGCAGAATCGCAAACTCCTTGCCGCGTTTTTCAAAATCGCACATACACAGTAACCGTGTACACGTCGACTTATTTTTACTTAAAAAAACATCCCTGAATTGCACAAAAATGGCATTGTGCACACTCTTGACTTTATCCATCTAAACTGCTATTTTCTCATAAATTACAAAAATTTGCACGAAAATGCAGGAAAATTTTGTGAATCTTTAAACTCGGTAAAAAGCACATATATGAAATTACCTGATCGCGAAAAATTATATACCCTATCCAAGGATGAACATTTCCACATATAATATAAATAAAATATCCAAAAACTTTTACCTCTAAATTATCTATTATAAACGTCACCAACAAATTCATAACAAAACATTAAAAATGGTTACAAATACTTAATGTCAAATATTTAAATTATTTCCATGCACGTTTACTTCCACTGAAACGTATACCAAATTGCTACAAACATATAATTCACAAAATAACTATCATTTAATTAAAATATAATTAAACCATGTACAAGTCGACTTTTTTTACTTAAAAAAACATCCCAGAATTGCACAAAAATGGCATTGCGCACACTCTTCACTATATCCATGTACACTGCTTTTTTTCTCATAAATTAGAAAAATTTCACGAAAATGCATGACAAATTTTGTGAATCTTTAAATTCGGTAAAAAGGACATATATGAAATTACCTGATCGCGAAAAAGTATATACCCTTTCCAAAGATGAACATTTGCAACGTATAAAATAATAAAAAATATCCAAAAACTTTTACCTCTAAATTATCTATTATAAATGTCACCAACGAATCTATAACAAAACATTAAAAATGGTTACAAATACTTAGTGTCAAATATTTAAATTATTTCCATGCACGTTTACTTCCACTGAAACGTGTACCAAATTGCTACAAACATATAATTCACAAAATAACTATCATTTAATTAAAATATAATTAAACCATGTACACGTCGACTTATTTTTACTTAAAAAAACATCCCAGAATTGCACAGAAATGGCATTGCGCACACTCTTCACTATATCCATGTACATTGCTTTTTTCTCATAAATTAGAAAAATTTCACGAAAATGCATGACAATTTTGTGAATCTTTAAATTCGGTAAAAAGGACATATATGAAATTACCTGATCGCGAAAAAGTATATACCCTTTCCAAGGATGAACATTTGCACATATAAAATAAATAAAATATCCAAAAACTTTTCCCTCTAAATTATCTGTTATAAACCTCACCTACCAATTTCTAATGCAAACATTAAAAATGGTTCCAAATACTTAGTGTCAAATACTTAAATTCTCTCCATGCACATTTACTTCTACTCAAACGTATTCCAAAATACTACAAACATATAACTCTCAAAATCACGATCATTAAATTAAAATATAATTAAATTAAAAAACACTACTTAAAATATAAATAAGCACATACATTATTAATAAAAAAATAGCTTACAATCCTAATTACTTTAAACTAAATCATTGCTAATAACAATTTTCCAATAATACCATATTAATTTATTTACTCCTTACATTTAGAACAATGCATAAAAATAATATCCTCCATAAAAATAATATCCATAATTAAAAATAACTTAACTTACCTAATCTTGAGTGCATGGCGGATCACAAAAGTCCATTTTCACCAGATTTCTTGCAACCGCCATTCAAACTTATCTGTAATATCCTTCCTTTCACACAATCTCATTTTCATAACCACATGTTGGACATTCATACTTATCCGCAATTTAGCAATTCTTTTCAGTTACACATAAACGCAATAAAAATTTCGGATTTACTTTATATAGGGCCATGGGATCCAAATATTAAACAACACTGATTCACACAAACATAGAATGAAACTAATGCTGTACAGCAGATATTTTTACAAATTTACCCCCTTTTCCGATTAAAGAACAGTGATTCGTCCATTAATGTCACATGACATATTTCATGATCTCTCATTTCCCTCACACAAAATAATGCGTAATCGGAACTGAGTACTTCTCACATTATTCCCAAAGTCCTAGGTAGTAACCTTTATCGCCTCCAAAATATCGCCAAACTACCTGTTACCATATTCCAAAGATCAGCCGATGCGTTTTAAGAAATTGCTTCCTTCTTGTTCCAGTCTGTCTTTCCATTATGTGCTCACATCCACTCTATGCTACATTTGCTCAGGTGTCAACAATTACAGAATCCTTCGCGCACAAACACTTTCAGTTGCAAATTTTCTGCCATGATTGAGTGAACACTTCTTACAGAAATATTCAAGAGAGCATGCAGCTAACATACTGTAATTCTGCAGTCCTCCTTGATGATAACAGCAGCTGTGTTAATCATTGTCTCTTTAACGGAACATTGTTACAGAGACAATGATTAATACAGCTGCCATTATCATCATTGTATCACTGCATGTAATCATTGTCTCTGTAACGGTTGAAGGTCGTCCCTCACGTTCAGTATCTTCCGCATTTTGCCTGCCTTCCTTAAAAGCTTTATGCCAGTGAAAAACACTTGCCCTCATTAATGCTTCATCATTGAAAGCTTCACATATCATGTCAAAGGTCTCCGATGCTGATTTTTGCAGACGAACACAAAATTTAATTGGATAACGTTGTTCCATCGCCGCTTCCATTTTGACAACTGGCCGCATCTCGTAGATGCCCGCAAACACGTTTCAGTTCAATCATGTGATACTCAGGAACATGAGCCTGTATATGCTATCTGTCAGTAGGTTTTGTTAATACAGACAACAAACTTTTTTATGCCACAGAAATTAATATTTCGATGAGTGGTTTCATAGCAGTAAAATTAGTCTTATTGAACAGCCTACATATATATCTTTTGTCTGTTTCTACTTTGCAACTGGAATACCATTATACGTGAGCTTGAAGTAACTTCAGATTACTTCAATTTTGTAAGTTCTTTTAGCATATTCATCGCATTAGATCAATTTTTAGATTTTTAGATTAATTATTAGATTTCACAAACTGCAGTTTTTTATATAGATTTGGTGACAAAAACTAATTATCCATGAACAAGGTGTGTTCATAACCAACTGTATCTATGGAGCGAAACCTTTGCGACTTTATATAAAGCAAAATGAATGATGACTTATAATTGTAAAGAATGATTTTAATGCAGCCAAATTCCCTAAGTCTATATTTTAAAATTGAATTTAAGATAAAAAATATCATGATTTGTTTATAAAAGCTATTAAACTTGACATACAACAAACAGAACATGTGCAATAATGGTTATATTACTTGTTAAAACTAAATAATTGTTAAGTGCATGGTTGTCAGAATTTGGTGTATTCTGAAAATTTTAATGATTTTAGTGATTGGGCTAATAGATAAGTACCGGTATAAGAACAGCTTTTGATGTGCTTGCATTTGTAAGTGTTATTGTAGGGCAACCTATTTATATTTTAATTTGTATACAAAAATAAAATTTAGATTAAGTTTGATTATAAAAGTTTGCAAGAAGCATGCTGTTTTTAACAGAATGAACTGCTTATTGAGTCCCCCAGGGGTTAGATTATCTTATGACATATATACCCCCTTCCCAAAAAAGTAACAAATTTATTCATACATTTAGTTAGTAAATTATGTTTGATGATTTATAAAAATAATATTTGTTTCCCTTTTATTGATAAAGTAAAAAAAAAAAAAAAAAAAAAAACATGAATCACCAAAATGGCATTTTTTTTTTTTTTTTTTTTTTTTTTAAGAAATAAGAAGGTTGTGATTATGCTATGTTTTCTATCAGAAATAAAATGCTTGTATTTTATTTTGGTACTTACTTGGAAGTATAGTAGTGTACAGGGTTCATATTGTCCTTAAACATACTTAATAAGTCCTTAGGTTTTTGGAAGTGATTTTTTGCTTGTTAAAAATCCTTAATTTTGGCCCAAACTGGTAAAAGGTGTTTAAATTCACTCATTTGAAATTTTTGCCTGTTTTTTATGACTGCTATTTTGAGTGTGAATTAATATTTTGGAGGAATATTTTTTGATTCATCAACAAATATGAATTTGATGGGTTATCATTTGAATTATTTTCTACTTCATAGTAGGTCATGACTGAACATTAACATTTCAAAATTATTTCTTTTTTGAGAATGTTCATAAAATATTACATCAGAAATATCCTGTCCCTTTTTTAAGATATGATTTCTTTTCTTATATGATACTAAATTTTGAGATTTCAAGATCAGTTTGTATACAAAAATTTTTATTTGGATATATATGAGTTTTTCGACAATTTTTTTAACCAACATAATAAAATTGGAAAATATCTTTAAAATAATAATATATTCAAATTGTAATTAAGAAAAAGCATTAAAAATAAAACACTTTTCTTTTCCCTTTTCATGTATTAAAATGGCATTACTCTCCATTTTGGCGAATTAGAAATTTTTTGATTCTGAACAATAAATAAGATAATTAATGCTATGAAACGTAGTTTCCAAAGCACTTCTTAGGAAAAGCAAAAAAGCTACTTTAGTTATTTTAAAACTAATTTCATGTTTCTTCTTTTATATTTTTTATTATATATTGTAATTGTTTCAAAAAATATTCGAATGTTGTGTCTGAGTTTTCTCTTTAAAATTCGCTTTATACTTTTCTTTTCTGAATTTTTTTATTCAAAAACCTTTTGGCATTTTGCTCTTATAGAGTTGGCAGTCATAGTTTTTAGACCTCGGAATGTTTAGAAGGACTTGAAAGCAAGAGAAACCTATGATTCCAGAAGTTTCTAGAAAAATATGACCAGATGAAAGACGTTTGTATGGTATTAACATGTAATGAATGGGTGTTGTAAGAAATTTGTGACAAATTTTTGGAAGAACAGTGAAAACAAAGTTATTAAAATTTTCTGCTTTTGGTCCTAAAAGTTTTCTTCTTAACATATTTATCATCCTTTTATTTTCTCATCTTTTCATCTGGCACAAGCATGGAAAATTGCAAATATAGTTCTAATCTTGTCACATGGAGAGGCATCTGTAGAAAGGAATGTTTCTATTAATAAAGAAATTGAAAATTTAACATCTTATATGTTTTACTGCATGTTACATAGGGCATTTTGCCACTATGTGCAGTCTCTGTCAATCCTAAATTCTGCTGCTTAGTGTCTCTCTAAATTCTAAAAAATTTGCCAGCCTAATTGCTAGCAGCCCATTGCTTCACCAACTTCTAAACTTTGACCATGCTGTCTCTGGCACCAACTCTGACCATTTCTTCTGTTATTCTAAATACATGCAGTTCTTTAGAATAACAGAAATTTTCAATTAAACCAGAAATTCTAAAATGTAGAGGAAACTTATTGAGAAAGAAATTGATTATGTATAGAAGAAAATAATTTATAAAAGTTATATTGTTAAAATAGAAACAAATTGGGAGATGAAGCAGAGATTATTGAGGGCATTGATTTGTTTATGGAAACAAAAAAGATGTTAAAGAGAAGGCAGCTGATGTAAATTAGCTAAATTTTCAATTTAAAATGATGCTTAAATATTTTGTTGAGTGATATTACAAAAGCATTTTTCTTGTAATAGTCTTAATATTTTTTAGAATTAATATAATAGATTATATATGTAATTATCTGTATTTTAAACTGTACAGTGTTCTTAGATTGTAATTTGAATAGAGCTTTTTTAACAGATATTTTTTAGAAATTAAAAAAATATGTATTAATAATGACATGTAATCTATAATAACTCGTGGTATCTAACTACATATGTAAGTATCTGTAATTAATTTCTCACTCTTAGAAGTTATCTCCTCTTGTTAGGTGAGGTATCTTTCCTTAATCCTTACTATGAATGTAAGATACAACAACAACAAAAGTAAAAATTAACGTAAAGCTTTTCATTACAGCTAATATACTTAAAATAATATAAAACAATTTACCACCTCTGGTGCTTCATCATCTTATTGGAACTTTGTATTAAATACAATATATTAACTGGATTGTAACTAGCAATTCTATGCGAAACTACAACACTAACTGGGTCAGACAGATAAAGGGCATTGAACTTTCAACACATACCAATCTTGCTTGTCAGGCATACATGTCTGTTCTGATCAGTGTTTCTTTCTCTCTCTTAGTAAGCAGCAGCAACGGTAACAGCTAAGCTTCGGTTACGAATCATGCTGGTTATAATATTATTTCTCATTTTAATCTGGGCTGCTTGGCTTAAAGTTAACCCCTGAACTGAGTGAGTATGACATGAAATGACATCATAAGAAAAGGGGGGGAGGAAGAATCTAGATAAAACTGATTGTTAGTAAAACGTAAATGTTAATAATCTTCTTTAAAATATGTGAGACTATTATAAGAGTAAAGTATAAATAATACAATTATAAATTCTGAAGGAATTTTGTAATTTACTGTTAATTTTTTGTTAAATTTTACAGAGTTTATTTTATTCTCAAATTTGTTTGATAGTTATGTTAAGTATTAAATTATGTTTAATACTAATGTATCCTGCTCACAGATTTGTTTTATTTTTAAAATGGTATTACAGAAGTGAAGTTTATGTATAGATAATTGCTTTAGTTTACTCAGTTCCCTTTGATGATAAGTCCTTAATTTTTTTAATTTCTGACTTATTTCATAAAAGTGCTTAAAAGAGCTTAATTTTAATGTGCAGAAATTTGTATGAACACTGATTGTAAGAGACAACTATTTCAAAAAGTAATCTTAATTCAGGATGCGACACGCTATTATTATGGCGGAAATAATGTCTGTTTATGTGTGTAATATGTCCCTTGCTGTCTTTGGGACGAAAAATCAGTGTTGTCCATTTTTCCATATGTCCATAAGTAGTTAATATTCTGTTTGCAAATCACAATGAAACTAGTAAGTGAATGAATTATGATTTAATTAATATGCACCAATATTTCAGAGATTCTTATCCCATGTTGCTAGTTGCTAACAAAGTTGACTTGGTGCATTTGCGTAAAGTTACTGAAGAGCAGGGAAAAGAATTAGCAGTCAGCTTAAAAGTAAGTTATTTGATTTTGTAAAATTAGTAATGTGGCATTTAAATTGAATATTCTTTGATGATTAGCATGAACTGTGTCAAATTTGGCAACATTTCTTATTAATCTATCTGAATATGTTTTAGAATTAAAAAATTTCATATCCGTATGCCTGATTATGATTTTATGCTTTGTTGAGCTGCTAATTAAAATCAAGTCATAAAGAAATGTACAATTAGTAGAGCATTTGTGAATGTATTTCTAGATATTAAGTATAAAATGAAATTTTTTCACAATTATATCAAAATTTTTAATAAAATTGTAATTGATTTTTAACTATTTGAATCAATTTCTTTTATATTACAGTCAAAAGTCTTTAATCCGGACGTCCATAATCCGGACCTCAAAGCTACAAGCTTTCTGCGCATGTGTGAACGCAAAATGCGTTGGCGCATTAGCGTTTACGCATGCGCATAATACATTTATGCATGCACATTTAATGTATAACAGACGGTATGAGCTAAGGTAAAATTATCTAATTATCTATTTCAGTTAATGTTGCAGATTGCGTTGTTCCTTAATCTTTTAATTGGATCCGGCTTATTATTTTTTGCAGACTGTTAGAGCAATTTTATAAAAGTAAGCTTGAACTTTTGATTATGTCAAAAAGAATTTCCGATTCTGGAGCTGAAAAAGGATCTACAAAGCAAAAGCATGTTACGATGTCTATCAAACAAAAAGTGGAATTGCTGCAAAAAACGGATAAAGGCATATCCTTTGTTTCTCTAACCATTCCGAAATCTGTTTATCAATTTCATGCTGCTCTGCCGGGGGGGGGGGACGTCGTGGCACGCAATGAACTGGAAGTTGATCTGTCAGCACTATCCTTATCTTCAGGGCAGATGTTTTTATTTTATTCGGCTTATAATTCCTTACTAAATGTAGTATTTCATCTCGATGTACTTCGTCTTTGATATGATTTAAATCAAATTCCTCGTCATTATAAATATCACGAATACACATCAAATAGTTTCCTGGTTGCAATATTCTAATTTCGACTATGCGTAATGTATGCTTTACGCATGTGCATGTTGAAAGAAATGATTAATAAAGTAAACAAATAAATATTAAGCTTTTTTTTTTTTTTTTGTAAATTTTGATACCCTTTAGATAATAATTGCTCTTTATTTCATAAGTTATGGTTTCATATTTTTAATTTTATAATTTCTGCATGCCATCTTACCAGATTTAAATTGATGATCTATAATCCAGAAAAACTGATAATCTGGAATCTGAAAGTTCCGACGAGTCCAGATTAAAGACTTTTGACTGTATAAATATATGAGCATTAAAAAAATAGATTACCTTGTATTTCCGAAGATAGCTGAGAGAGTGTTTTTTTCTTCAAAAAACTACGCAAAATTCAAAAGTAATTAAGACAAAATGAAAAAGAAAATCTTTTGATGTTCAAACAAGCTGCCTTAAGAGTAAAAATATTGCTAAGCTTGCAAAATGGGTGGAATATCACTATATATTAACTCTGGTAAAAAGCGGAAATTTAAAATATTGGGTTGATCGGAAAACGGTGTTTGTACGGTCCTTAAGAGTCCTTAGATTTTTTGGAATCGATTTTGGTCCTTAAAAGTCCTTAATTTTGGCCAAAATCAGCAGAAGGTCCTTAATTTTAATCATCTGAAATTTTCTGTCTGTTTTTATGACCGCCATTTTGAGTGTGAATTAGCATTTTGGACAAATATTTCTTGGCGATTCATTGACATAATAGAGTTATCTTTTGAATGGGTGAGTAAGTTCATGGGTTATAATTTGTTCCTATTTCTAATATAAACAATGGGATACTCGAAGTTTCTGAGCAAGAAGTGAAACATAAGCATTTCGTAATTATTCCATTTTTTCTAATGAAAGAGCTCTTAAACAACTTTTCGCGTTTGGGGGAATGGGAATTCCTTTATTAAACGGTTCCAAATTTGGCGACTTATCAACATTTTGGCAGATTTAAAGATCAGTTTCTATAGAAAACATTTAATTCGGAAATCTGAGAATTTTTCGAAGACATTTTTTTCTAAACGTATTATAACATTGATCAATTTCATTAAAATAATGGTAATATATTGAAATTATATTTAAAAAATAGTATTAAAATAAAACATTTTTATTTTTTGCTGTCATATTACAAAGTTTTATTTTGGCAACTTATTATACAATATTTTGAATCTGAAAAATAAACAAGGTATAATGCTATAAAGCACAATTTATGAAACAGCTCTTAGCAAAAGCAAAATTAGCTATGTTATTAATTAAAAATGTCTTCTTTCTAATTTTTTCATGGTAAGATTTTTTCCCATATAATTGTCTCAAAATATTCAAAATTCTCAGAATATGCATGTTTTCTCTATAAAATTAATTTTACACTTTCTGTCCCCCCTTTTTTTTTCCAAAATATTTCTAGCTTTTTGCTGTTACAGAATTGGTAGGGATAATTTTTGTTTAGTATTTTAGACATTGCAGCTTAGAAATTTTAGAAGGATTTTGAAGGCAAGATTTATAGACCCATGATTCTAGAAGATTCGAGAAATATGGGACAAAATGAAAAATGTCTCCATGTTATCAACACATAATGGATGTATTTTACAGAAAGTTTGCAATGAATTTCTTACTTTTTGGAAAACTTCTGGAAGAACACTGAAAACATAATATTTGAATGTTTTACTCCTGATGCTAGAATCTTTTTCTTAACATGTTTTTCTTCCCTTTCTTTTCTCTACTTTTCACTAGACACAAGCGTGAAAAATATCAAAAATGCTTCTAATCTTATCACATGGGAAGGCATTATGCATCATACACAGAGCTATTGCTAGGCATTTTCCCAACCGATACATCTCTGTGGATCCTAAATTCTGCTTCCAATGCCATCTCTAAATTCTAAAAGTTTTGCCATTTCTAGATTTTGTTGTTCTGTATGTCACTAAATTCTATATATTTTGTATTTCTTCTGAATGTTCATATTACTAAAGAAATAAAGTTAGTCACTTTTTCTATACATTCTAAACGAATTTAGTGTTTTTTAGAATAACAGAAATCCTTAATTAAATCCAAAAATTCTAAAATGAAAAGGAAACGTGTTGAAGAAAGAAATTGAATACATAAAGAAAATTATTCTTCAAAGATATGTGCAGTTTTTATTATGTAAATTACCTAATTATTTATGATTTCAGCCTTTACTATAATTTCCCATTTCTATTTTCTCATATGATAGAGTTACTGAGCCAGATTAAATTAAAATTAAATTGTATAATCTTTGACCACTAGTCCACATTTTTAGTTTGAATTTGACTGTTCTTGTTTAATTACATCGCCGTGAGCTGTTATTGATTTTGTTAGCATCAGAACATGACTTTATGCTCTAAGTTCTTTTTAAATAAGAGCCTTATTTAAACCATTGTCTGATATTGTAGTTACTTTCAGACAAAGTGATAATTTGCTTCATGTCTATTGGGGTTTTGGACTGTTTAACTTTACCAGATCAAGTAAACCCTTATAAGTATGTTGTGGAGAGGTTGACAGGTTAGGAGATAAAGTATGCATAAACTAATGATAGCATTGGTTTGCACATTGAGACAAATCTCTAATTGTTAGAAAAGATGCTTAAAGAGAAGGAAATCAATATAAAGTAGCCAAAATGTTTGTGAAGGCTTCAAATTAAAATGACGGATAAATATTGAGTGTTGTTATAAAATATAAATGCTTTGTAGCTTTTAATGTGTAATTATACTAATATTGTTTAAGAATCAATTTCATAAATTACATGTATTTTAAACTGTTAAATGTATTAGATTTTAATTTTAATAGGGCTTTTTTAACAAATATTGTTAAAAAATAAAATGTAATAGTGGCCATGTAAATCCATAATGACTAAGGTTATCTTGTAAGATTCTGTGCTGCATACTTTTAAGTTACAGTTAAAGTTGAAGAATCTTAAGAACTGATCAGCGAATAATCACTTGAGTTTGTGCGATAGAGAATGACACGTAAGAAGGGTGAAATTACCCTTTATTATTCCAATAAAGTTTAACAGAACTCTGTCTTGGAGTTTTGCAATAAAGCCGCCACTCGGGCTTGAACGTAGGAAACTACTAATCTTAACTAAAAAGGATATAGCAGAAGCTATCAAGATTCTAACAAAGTTAACCCCTTAATTCTAAAATAACGGCCGAGCTATCAAGGGCCTAAAGTACCGCCGAAAGTAATAATAGCTTAAGAGAGATAGCCTAAGAAGGCGAAAGCATGCTAGTCAGAATCACTGTTTCTCTTTCACGAAGTCAGTAGAACTTCACAGTTAAATACTTCTCCTCATTTGCATTCAAACGTGATTCTAAAACTATGTTCTGGCCGGAAGTTGTAAGTTGAAATTCAGGAAGATAGGAAAGGAACTTAAAAATTTAACTGTTAGGTAAATTAACATAATCCTTACAATTAAATTACCTAATTTAATTATTTATAACTAACTGCTTACCCTTAAAAATTATCTCTACGCATTAAAACGAGTTATTGCCTTTCATTAATACTCACTGTCATAAAATAAAACACAAAAATGTAAAAATTCAAGTAAAACCTTGCTTTAATGGCTTATTGGAACCTTAAAGTATATTAAACGGGTTACAACCCCTGGAAATCTACATGAAGCTACGACACTAACTGCATCAAACAAAGCCTGACTAACTTTCAGCACTTACCAACTGTGCCTACATCAGGCCTTTCAGGTTTGTTCTAATCAGCAGGTCTCTCTCTAGACAAACAGCAGAAGTGACAACATTCAGTCGTTTAGGTTATGAATCATGCTGATTATGATCTTACTTCTTATTTTAACGTATGCCGTTTGACAAAATCTACCTGCTATATACGAAAAAAATGTAGACTGACCAAGTATGTGACAAAATGAGGCATATAAAAAAAATCAACATAAAGCTACTGCTAGTAAAACGTAAATGTCACTTGTCTTCTGTCAA